CTAGGTGTAATTATCACATGATAGATTGGGCTGTATCATTTTTGTTTGTGCCTGTGCAAACTGTATAAAAGAAGAATCAGTATTCTGTAAATGCATCCATAATATTCAACACATTTTCCTATGTTAAAATGATTTGAAAAGTAACTTTCCAATTTATGGAGAAATAGAGCCCCATTGAGATACTGATTAAAATTTCATTAACCCTAACCTAAAAATAATGCTATCTTGGCAATATTCAGGGTCATCATTCAGGAGCCTGTTATGTCTTTCCAGTTACTATTAATCAGGTTTTATAGTTGTTCTTAAATAGGAAATCTCAAGAACGTTCCCAGGTATTTTGTGTTGCTTTGTTGTTATGATGGTGGTTGGATGATTTTTCCTTTCGTAAACATTTTTCCTTTGGTAGTGATTTTTTTAGATTTTTATTTGGTAATGGTCTCTTATTTGAATTTAGATAAGTTGATAGTGTTTTTCAGTTGAATGTCTTGTATTTTCCAGGAAAATATGCACCATGGTATCATAAATAATTCTAGGAAATGGAAGTAATAGTTTTTAACATTCCCTTTATTTTTATCCTGCTAAAGGCAGTTGGCCCACACCCAGGAGCTGATTCTCATATGTTCTCCTCTGACCTTCTGAAAATCCGACCTATATTTCTGCATTTCGGGTGCCTCCTTTTTAGTGGCTCTAGAGAGGTCCCCCATTCCCTGGCTAAGCTTACATGATTATTTCTGTTGTTGGGCCTTGCCTTATGAGATGGACTACAGATCATATATTATTTTTTAAAGTTTATGTATTTACTTAAGTAATCTCTAAACCCAGCGTGGGCCTCCAACTCACAACCCCGAGATCAAGAGCTGCATGGTCCTCTGACTGAGCCAGCTGGGCGCCCCAGATCTTAGATTCTTTAAGAAAGAGACTTCTCCAGATTACCTTTGGAGGAGGTCTGTGAGGTATGTGAGGGATAGGGGACCTGCAGGCACTCAGTCCCAAGACCCCCACGGAGCCTGGGATGTTCACTGACCTCACAAGAGTAACAGCTCAGCCTATAGTCGGCGTCTCTCCTCAGCTCAGGCTCCTGGCTTCCCAGAACATGCCTGGCATTCCTCTGCATGAAAGAGAAGATTTGAATGGGGTCGTGTACCCCCGTTAGGGTATGGTGCTTCTTCACCTGGGCACTTCTGAGTAGGGTTTTGCAGCAAGCAGCCTCTGCCTGAGGTTTCTAGGAAAAAAAGAAACATGGTTAGGATCACGATGGTGACCAGGCAAATAAGCCTGGTTTCTGATTTCCTCATTTGTTGTGTCACCAGTGGTCGCAACTGAGACCCTTTTCCCTTCCCTGCTGTGAGCACAGTGTGGAGAGCGCATCTCAGGCTCGTTTCCCTGTCCGGCATCATGTCTGTTCCTGCCTGCTGCCCAGAGTCCCTGCTGGAACGTGGACTGTGCCGGGGGTGCCACCTCCCTCTTTCAGGTGGAGAGCGAACCAAGGGGCGTTCCAGGTTGGCCTTGCATTTCCGGTGATCCCTGCTCACTCTCCTACTCTGCTCTAAATCTATTTATCTAATTTATCTAATTATCCATTCAGCATTTTTCCTTCTGACTTGTCGGTGCCCTCCTGATGGTGGCACAGACGTCCCTTTCCGTCACTGCTATTGGGGACCTGGTGGCAGCAGAATGGGCCTCCTGCGGTGTTCCCTGGCCCATGTGAAGCTCATTCCCATGTGCAGCTCATTGGAACCTTTAATCTACCTTGCGATTGGTCTTGTGCTTTCCCTGTTCCTTGTCAGGCTGCATTCCTGCAGGATCTTGGTATCCTCCCCCTTTTCTTTCTCTTCCTCCCAGTATCCACCTTGATGAGTCAGTCAGAAATTGTCTTAAGTTTATCTTCTTTTTCCCGGAGTGTGATATTCTGGCAAAACCTAATGGTTGGATTTCTTAACTAAAGCTTCTGCCTACTGGTGGCCGTCTAGCTTTCTGAAGCTCAAGAGTAAACTGGGTAAATCGTAGAATCATAAAAGGTATTTATTCCGTCATGATCCCCAGATTTGTGGTGTCGTCTCTCAGGTTTTCTTACAGCTTCACCTGAGAAGGTGGCACCTCACTGACCTGGCCTCCATCCCGTCTGTATGTTAGAATCACTAGGGACTCCTAAAAATGCTGTTGCTTATGTCTGTCCTCAAGATCCCGGTCTGTCTGGGTCTAGGGCGCCATCCAGGTATTAGGACACAAGCAAGAAGCCCTCCAGTGATAACGTGCACCCATGTTGAGAACCCTTGCGAGTAGAGGAAGGCTCCCATTCTGTGCTTTTGTGGACCTCTCTTCCGGTCTCTGGGATCCTCAGGCATGACTGAGACTCAACTGATGGGCATATCTCCTAACCCTAGCTGAGGAGACCGACAAAGAAAAACGTTGGCAAATCTAATGTGATATGACCTGCTCCTGGCAGAGGCCTGTCCCCTGAAACTCTGTTCATTCTGAGATTCTTTTGTTTATCCAGCAGCAGGAGTTGTGTGTCTGTTAACGTGATAGGCACTCTGTTAGGTGCTACAGGAACAATCTGACAAGGCCCCATCCTTCTGGGCCTGATAGTTGGTGATTCTGTTCCAGCCCTATGAAAGGATTCCTGTCCTGGGAGGACCCTCCTCCTTGTGGCTTGTGTGGTGGCTAGACTCTCCTGCTCGCCTGTACAGAGCATACGTGGCCTGCCAAACGAGGCCAGTTGTCCTTCGTGACTTGGAGAAATGAGCAGAACCTTGATTTCTTGACCTACCAACCAGACTAGGTTCTAGGAAGCTCTAGCAGCTGCTGTAGGCCCAAACCGCTGTACCTTCTCTCTTAGGGAGCTCAGCCGGGCCACTGAACCTGGAACCTTGAATCCTCACATGGCTCGCTGGTGAAGGGTGAACTGAAGTCGAAGACTAAAGGCATCCCTGGGTGACTACTTTCTTGTGGGTCCACATCTTGCTCTTACTTAACCTTGTCACTCTCACTGAAGGAGTAAGTAGGTTGTTAAAGAAATTCAGTTAAGGAAGATGAAAGAGCTTGCCACCTTGCCTAAAGCCTGAAGCATTAGGGCCACAGAGCCCACTCCTGTCACCCTCTCCCTTGGCCCATTGGTTTGCTATGCCCCAGGGGCACTGACCCCTCCAGGCAGAATCTAACCCCACCAGCTGCAGGAAGCAGGGAGACATTGGAGACTGAAGGGACCGGTTGAACTGATACCAAAGTAGGTAAGCGGTTGGAAGGCCTACGTGTAAGAGTGAGCTTTTCGTGTAATTCGATTACTGTGTCTTTCTCTGGAAGGTGGGGCCTCCCTATAAACCTGGAGCTACAGCAGTGTCCCCCTATCTGTACACTTGCCTGGGGAACTGTCTCTGGGAGGTCAGTTTGTGTGATCAGGACCTGAGTCTTCCCCATGCACTGTGTCCACATCCAGCCACGGGCTCCCTCTTTCAAAGTAGTCAGTTTGGAAACTGAACACGTGGTTCAGTGGTCTTGGCCACTTTTCAGGAACATTTTGCACGTCTGTTCAGAATTGTATGTGACTTAGCTTTTTGGAGCCACTCTCGTACTAGCACGTGTTCAGTTTTTCTTCAGAGGTTTTCTTTAGATTTGATTTTTTGTAAGAGTATTTATTTATTTACTTATTTGAGAGAGAAAAGAGAAGGGAGAACGTGAGGCAGGGGAGGGGCAGAGGCAGAGGGAGAAGCAGACTCCCTGCTGAGCAGGGAGCCTGATGTGGGACTTGATCCCAGCACCAGGGGATCATGACCTATGTTGAAGGTAGATGCTTAATTGACTGAGCCACCCAGGTGTCCCAGATTTGATATTTATACAAGAAATCATTCAGTGTAATTTGTTATGGAAGCCCTGGGTCGAGATTGTAAATTTGATCTGAAAGTCTCCTTGACAAAGTTCAGAAAGGCTTTGAGTAAAAGCAGCATGTGTTCATTCAGTGAATGGTATTTGGTACTACCCTAGGCAGGCACGTGGCTCTAGGCTTGGGGGATGGAGCAAGATGGGCATTCTGGCTCAATAAGGTAATAATAAATAATAAAACAGATAAAAAATAAGTTGCCAAATAAATACAAGTTCTAGAAAGAGAGGTACGTTAAAGAAGACAGAGGAAGCAGGCAAAATGGCAGACGGGCTGGTTGGAGCCAGTGAGTGAGGAAGGCCTTACTGGGAAGAGCCATCAGGGCAGAGACATGAATGATGTGTGGCATGCAGCCACATCCCGGTGTGTCTTGAGCAGTGGCGGCAGTAAATGGAAAGGTTCTAAGGTAGGAGGAGCTTGGCAGGTTTCAGGAACGTCAGAGGAGCATGGGGGAGAGAGTAGAGGAGAGGAGAGGAGGGGCAGATAGGAGGAAATCAAACTGCAGGTGTGGGCCCAGATTCCAAGGATGAGGGGGAGGGACTGGGAGTTTCAGTCTTTGCTGGAGTCAGTTCCTTGCCTTGCAGTGTCATTATTTTAAAGAGCAATACTAATTTACATTGATGGCTTGAGGTCCACGTTAATTAGTTTGTTTTAGGGAGGGTTGGGAAGAAGCTGGGGGCATATCCTGGAATCCTTGTGGGATATCAGAGCAGGAAGCTCAAGAAGCCTGTGGTAGTGTTGCCTGGGTGAGGTGTGACATACTGCGGGCAGATCAGGACAGGAAGGGTGCTCATTTGTTAATTGTTCCTTAATAGCGTTTGAATTTTTATCGCGCGTGTGTATTTTTTATGAAGCCTGTGTATTCACCTACCCATCTGTGTGTGTAAGGTGTGATTTTTGCAGAAGCAGTGTAGCTGTTGTGCAGATGAAAACACGAAGTGACTTTAAACCGTCTCCTCCTCTGAGATAATTTGATAAATGCTGAGAGGCTGCTTGGAGTTTGGATTTCTATGAAATCCAAGCATTGATAGTTAAGTGCCTTCGAAAAGTGAAATGTGCTTCTGTTTTCATAAATAACACTTCATTTTTCTATTTCAAATTACATCCTTTGCTCCTTCCCCAGGCAACAGAAACAGACACCAAAATCAGAGTGTGCATGCGGGCGTACCATCTACTCGTGAAAAAACTGGGCTTTAATCCAAATGACATCATCTTTGACCCTAACATCCTCACCATTGGTACTGGGATGGAAGAGCACAACTTGTATGCTGTTAATTTTATCCATGCAACAAAAATCATTAAAGTAAGTGTGGATATTTTCTCTCTTCTACTCAGGATACCACTTAAATTTATCTTATGGCTCCAGTGAATAGTTTGAGCTGACGTACCTGTTTATTGCCTGGGAATGTTGACAGTTTACTTTTAGGTGGAAAATTGGTTTTCTGAAATTTAGGGCCCATTACTATTTTTCTTTGATGTGATGCTTTATGCTATGAAGTAGAACGTAGATACTGGAGAAAATATATAAAAAATATAGGTATAATAAATAATTATGAAGCACATAATAACTTTCACTTGGGTCATGAAACAGAACATGCCTAGCGCCCCTGTGACTCTCCCTGTCAGCTTACACCCTCAACTCTGAATTTTGTGTTGGAATCATTAGCCTGTTTTATGATAACGCTTTGTTTCTTTTCTTTATCATTTTATCGCTTACATACACTCTGAATTATCCATGGATTTTGTATTTGTAAATTCACCTATTTGCTAAAGTTTGTGACCCCCAAAATCAATACTCTTGGTGCTTTTGCAATCATTTGTGGACATACCCACAAGCAGACAGATGAAAATTCGAGTGGCCCAACCACCGTGTTCCCAGAAGAGGTCAACAGACTCCGCAGCTTGTTTCAGTTCTCAGTCTTTGAACGAGTGTCCAGTGAATGGTCTGTGTAGTGCCATGTTTTTCACAGTTTTGAGCTTTTCCTTGGTAGTTTATTTTCTGTCTTAATGGCCCCCAAGCATAGTGCTCAAGTGCCTTCTGAGGTTCCTGATTGCAGGAAGGCCTCGACGAGCCTTACAGAGAAAATGTTTGCAGTTAGATAAGCTTTGTGTAGATGTTAGTGGTTGAGAGCCAGTTGGCCATGAGCTTCGTACTAGTAAGTTAGTAGTATTTGTTAAACAAGATGTCTTTACACAGAACAACACATAAAACAAGTTTCTGTATTGATGAGTAGATGAAAATTGTGTGACCAGGGGTTCACAGAAGCATAACTGTTTTTCCCCTGGGGAGTGGTGGTTCTCAGTATTCGCAGGTTCATTGTTCATGGTGACTTTATACGTTATAACTACCAAATACTGATATGCGGCTGTATAAACAGTGCGGCTTAGTTTGGCCAGTTTTGAGCTTCATATAAATAGAGTCTCAAGATTCTCAGGCCTTTTTGGCTTACCCAAACTTACTTAAAAAATTCAGCTCTGTTGTAACCTGGATTTTGTTCATTTTTATAAACATACAACATTTCATCATGTAACTCTTCCACAATTAACTGTTCTACTGTTGATAGACATTTGGTTTGTTTCCCATTTGGGGCAGTGTGCGCAATGCCGCCGAGATCATTCTGGTATGTGTAACTTGGGTGCACATGCCCGGGTTTCTTGATAGCATATACCCCAGATGTGGGATGGTCCAGTCACAGCAGTAGGTGTGACAAGGTGTATCCCTAAAGCTTGAGCTGCTTTGTACCTTAGCTGACAGGAAGTTCCTCTTGTTCCCACATGCGTGCTAATGCTGGACATTGTCGTGAGGTGTTCTGGGAACCTCAGTTTCATTCTTTCCTCTCAGAATTAGTCAAGTTTATGGTGAATTAGCGAGTTGGTTCATTTAGGCTACAGAGAAGCCTTTGACTGAATGACAGACTACTCTCTGTCTCTGTGTTGTTCTTTCTCTGTTACATATTCAGCACATATTTTCTGGCACACTCCCTAGGTACCATGGCCTCATCAGGCCCATTGTAGAGATCTACAGAGATAAGGCAGAATTTTTTATTTTCCCCCAGGGAGATCAGAGTCTAGTAGGAAGAACTATCTGCAAGGCATTGTTTTTGCAGTGCCATAATATGGCAGGTTTTGGTCTCTATCTGGCTACAAGAAGCTCAGAATTATGTCAGACTATAAGTTTTTTACTTACCCCCTGATATATAAAACTTGAGGGATGGGATTGTTGCTTTTGGCAAAACAGGGAAGTCTTTTCACATTATAAAATTTTTGCTAGGAAACCCTGCCTGGAGCCCGAGTAAGTGGAGGTCTTTCCAACTTGTCCTTCTCCTTCCGCGGCATGGAAGCCATCCGAGAAGCAATGCATGGGGTTTTCCTTTACCACGCAATCAAGGTACAGTAGAACACCTGTGTGCCCTTTGAAAGCAACTTTCACTTAGGGCAGGGAGGGGTTTGTTCACTTTGGCCTGCAGACTAAGGCCTGCTGCCAGTCTCTGTGGATAACAACTTATTCATGCTTTGTATGTTGTTCTTCGTGGCTTTTCTGGGACAGTTGAAGAGCCGAGTAGCTGGGACAGAGACCATGACCTAAAATATTTTCTACAGAAAATGTTTGCTGACCTCTGATGTAGCATATTCCTGGAGATTCTCATTTTTTTTCTTTTTCTTGCCCTCAGTTTGGTATGGACATGGGGATAGTGAATGCTGGAAGCCTGCCTGTGTATGACGATATCCACAAGGAGCTTCTCCAACTCTGTGAAGACCTCATCTGGAATAAAGACCCTGAGGCCACGGAGAAGCTCCTGCGCTATGCTCAGGTAGAGAGAAAAGTGTTCTGACGAGGGCTTGACCTACCTTCGAACTTCACCCCCATAGTTACCCGACCTCCGTTGTAGAGCAGGAGCAGGCATCCAGATCGTCTGGTCCCTGAAGATTCCTGCAGAGAGCCCCAGAGAAGGCATTTTAGTTAAGGGTGAGGGAGCAGAAGCAGGGGCATACCCAGCCTGCCTCAGGATCCTAATGTCAGTTTTTTTTTAATGTATCTGAAATTGTAAAATTAATTTTGTCCCATAATGAAGTAACACATAGTAATTCTAGAAAATTTACAAAATATAGGTAAGTAAAAAAGGGAAATAAAAGTCCCTCAGAGTCCTGCCACCAAAAGATAACCACTGTTGAGATTTTGTTATGACCTTCCAGTCATGGTTTTGGTTTATTTTCAGAATGATTGTGTCCTCACAGCTGTGTGCACCCACGCTTACATACGCATGCATGCTCAGATAGAGTTTTACAAAAACAGACCTCTATTCTAGATGCTTTTTGGTAACCCTATTTGTCTAGCAGTATACCGGAACATCTTTCCATTTCATGAGATATTTTTCTACCTCATAATTTAAATGAACTGTTTTGAATTTCCTTGTATGGCTGTGTTACTACTTGGTACCCATTGCAGTATGCTTACACTTGTTTATGTCAAGATCTGGTCCATCCGTGGCAGGGCTCCGTAGGTCAAGGCTTGGGGTCTATGCACATTTGATCTATAGAAACGAGAATATGATAGTTAATTCAAAAATCGGTTTCTTGTCTCCCGCTTTACTGTGTGTCCGGTAGTTACAGGTGCATCAAGCACCTGTCATGGGGCTGCTTCTTGGAATTCTCTTTCAGGAGAGATGAGATCTTTACCTGAAAATAACTTTTTAATTTATTTCAGAAAGCAATGGCAAATGAAGACATTTGTCTCGCGAAGCACGTGGGGAAAGTGGTAGAACACTTTCATGGATGTTGTCCACTTTGTTAACGTCTTCCATGCTAAAATCTGAATATAACTGGCAGAGATGTTCACTTGTCCTCTTCCATCACAGAGTGAGTGCTAGAGTGTTCTGGAAGAAGGCTAGGACAGTTTACAATTAACCGCATCTGTGATTTATCAGCTTTATGGGTGACCAGATCTAAATTTCTGAAATTGCCATAGGCTCAGCGAGGCTGATGGAGATCAGACTATGCCGGTGAGCACAGGACCCTCCTCCCAGTTCCTTAAAAACTTTCCTGACTTCTCTCATGGACCCAGGACAGAATGTCTCAGGCCTTGATTATTGCAGATATAATCACGTTCTGCTTCTCAGCTTATTGCATAAGAGCTGTCTCTAGAATTTTCCCCCCTCTTTCCAGGGCTGTTTCTGCTCATGACAAAGTACTTAGCCCCTGAGTGTGGAACACTACCCCATTTTCTTCTTTGCCTGTCTTCCACCCAGTGGAATAATAACTCAGACAGGGTTCTCTTGAAGGCCCGAAGGGCATCACAGCTTCTATAAACATGAAGTCTTACTAGAGAGTTCTTAACCCACACAGCAGAGCATGGTTTCAGTTTTCTCTCCACTCCTTCATGTAGGAAAAAATTGGGCTCCTTCATTGGAAGACTGTTCTCATTTAAGGTGTTGTTAACTTTGTATTTTATGTTAGTCATTCACTGTTAGCGATTTTTTACAAGTTTTTGTTTTTGTCTTGCTGAGCTGTCAAAAGGTTTTGCCCCCAGGATGGACACAGCCAAACTGAGGGAAATCTTAATAGCAATATCGAGAGCTTAATAATCCATCATATGAGAGGTTCCTCCCTCTTAATGTAACCACAAGGACTTATTACAAGCCATTGACCCCTCCATCAAGTAGGCTGTCCACATTCATAGTGATTTCTGTCACCATTTAGGGAATTAGTAACCAAAACAGGCATACTTCCATAAGCCCCAGGAGTGGTCAGCTCTGTAGTAGTTTCTCAGGATATTCCGAGGGCAAATGGAACATAAAAAGCAGTGAAATTAAGAGACAAATACGGGGTGAGGATTTTTTTTCTTTGTAAGAGAATGATTATCTCTTTTTGTTATTAAATGATGAATTCTACACCCAAGTTTCCTGTGTGATCCAAAAAAGTGGAGGCACGCCTGGGTGGCTCTGTCAGTGAAGCATCTGCCTTCAGCTCAGGTCATGATCCCACCGTCGTGGGATTGAGTCCTGCATCGGGCTCCCTGCTCTGTGGGGAGTCTGCTTCTCCCTCTCCCTCTGTTGCTTCCCTTGTTTTTGTCCTCTCTCTCAAATAAATAAAATCTTGAAAGGTGGAAAGAATCTTGTCTCTGATCTTACTAAACTCTCTAATCCCACTTTGGGGGAGTTAATGGCTTTATTAAAAAATAATTATTTTAAATTTGGCACAGGCTGACCTGTGATAAGTAGATTATTTTTGGTAATGAAAAGTTCCAGGTGTCATGGTACTGTATAATTTCCATGGAACTCCATGGAAATCCTTCTTTCCTTTTTTCCCCATGGAGTTCCTTTATTAAGCATTACCCTAATAGAGGTCATGACCCTTTTGGCCTGGAAGGATCTCTGCTCTGAATACAGTGACTCCTGAATAACCTTGAGTTGTGAGAATATCCTTGATACTTCTGTGGGAGAAAAGTTATTGGATCCTTGTTGGCCTTCATCTTCCTCACGTTCTTCTTTGTCTTTCTCTCGAGCAGTTTACTCCCCTTGGTGCCTGTCCAGCTTTTCTGTGTGTCAGAAACAAAGCACAGAGCGCCACGGGGTTCTGACAGGGAATCTGGTCTGACAGAGACAAGGACAGCCAGATGGACATGACTGTTGGTGGGTTTGCTCTATAGCCTTGTGTCTGACGAGCACCCAGGGTCCCCGCCTCCCGCCCCGGGCCGAGTTTGCAGTTAGATCATGGAGAGCCTTCTCGCTGATAACTAGTTGAAAAGCAGGGTACTCCTGAAATAGCGGCTTTCAAATGTGCCTTTTAAGTCTTGATTTTCTGAAGCACGGTCATCAGGTGGGGAGGTTTGCATTTGGGTGAAACCTTCTGTGGCCTTCCCCAGATCCACAGTGGCCACTGTTCATCCTCACGTAGGTCCTGACCGCTCCCCACCCCAGGGTGCTGCTCACAGTGGAGCTTCCCATGAACTCGCCAGATCCTTCCTCCAGGAGTGTTTGGAAGCCTGTGCTGTTTTCATCCTCAGACTCCGTCCCGCCCGCAGGAGCTGCCTGGCGCGCGGGCTGATAGGGCACATGGCGCGTCGTACACATGGAGTCAGAGCATTGTGAGCTTCGGAAGGGCTAGAAGGGCTTTCTTTCCTCTTGTCTTTTTGGTTTTCTTTTCCCAGTGCCACGCGGCTCTGATTGGACTTTGTCCTTTATGGCCAGATAGCCTTACCTTGTATGTGTCGCTACCGCGTTTCCTGAATCTGCTCGTCACCCACACACGTTCAGGTTGCTTCCTTGCCCGGCTGCGTGCAGTAATGCTGCCACTCATTCTTCTAAGGTCACCAGCTTTAGTTTTGCTGGTAGGGGAGGAACCCTTGTGCCATCAGTCTTGCTGGTAGCACCCCAGCCCTGCGGTTCTGGGGGCTGTCCCCAGGTCCGTCCTCCTTTCTGTTCTAACACATTGTCCATTACTTAATGTCCTTATGCTTGTCGTCTTCTTTCCTTCCTGTCACCACCGCTGTGGCCCAGGCCTTGATCACGAATTATTAAAGTCTCCTCCCCTTTTGGGGTGCTCTTAAAAATACCGCTTTGTCCTTCTGCAGCTTCAGAATTTTGCATTTGGTCCTGCACTCCACGCCCCACCCCCCAAATGCCTGTAAGGTTAAATCCAAATTCGGTAGCATGGATTTCTGGTGCTCTGTGACTTGGCGTCCACTATCCTGCATCAGCATGGCTCCAGAAAACCTGGTTTTGTTCAGCATTAAACCGCTCAGCTAGTCTTGTTCTGTGCTGTTCACTTCCCCAAGCAGAGAGAATTGAACCGGTAAGAGAGAGGGGCCCCTCCAGGGTCTGTGGTTGACTGAGGTGTAGGAACATGCTAGAGGCGGTTGTAACCCAGTGGGGTCGGTGCTGGGGTAGGGCAAGCGCACGAGGCTGTGAGAACACGCAGGAGGGCCACTGAACCCAAAGGTAGAGGTGGTCGGGGCAGCCTTCCCAGGAGGGGTGTGAGTCAGGGGAGATGTGAAAGCTAGGTGGGACTTAGCCAGGCTGGGCTCTGACGTCGGAGTACAGAGCTGGTGGTCCTGCCGGGCCGGGGGCATTTGCATCTAGCTGGGGACAGCCTGGGAGGAGGTGCTGAATTAAACGTGTGTCACATGAATGAAGGTGGAGACCCAGAGGTGAAAGGAATGACAGTGTGGGGAACGGAAGTATTTGTGGTGGCTGAGTTTGCTGGGTATAGTAGAAGATGAAGCAATCAGAGAAAGCCAGGTTGGGGCATCGCATGGCAGATGCCTCCCAAGAGCAGCCTTGGAAAGGAGTCTGTGGCATGGAAAAGTTACCTGTCCTGGGAGAAACGGGACCCTTCCAATGACTCTTGTCGCGTGGGGGTCGAGTGATGAGATTTGTCCCTCTGGTTTCTAGTTTAGTTTATAGTGCAGGAGATACTCTGCCGTTCGGGGGTGGATGGGTACTGAGAGCAGCTAGTGGCTTGGACCATGTAAGCGTGGAAACAGGGTGGGGAGGAGTTTAGAGGAGATGTAGTCAGTTAGGGCTCGGTGAGTGGCTGTACGAGAGGAATGATGGGGTATTAAAGAATGCTCTAGATTTTCAGTTGGGGTGAGTGATTCCACCAGTTGATGGGGAGAGAATAGATGAGGTCATGTGGTTTACTTGGTAGGCCGTGATCATGGCATTTTCTGTCCCTTTGTTGAGTCCATCCACTTCTTCCACGTCTCTCCACCCTGGTTTGTGATGATGACTTGTTGCTCAAGATTCTCGGTCCAGTTTGGATCATGCAGTATGGTCTGTTTTGTGCTCATTCCGCCCCCGGCATGTGCCTTCTCTGGTGTCTTGCCCCTCCACCTCCCCCAGGAAGTGCCAAGTCCTTGAGGGCATAGGCGTGTCCTGCAACTCTTGGATGCCCACCCTCCCATGCCGTCTGACTCTGGCCACCAGCTCTCTGTGCGTATTTGTGGGTGATGATGCCGTGTGTGGTGGGCCCTCGAGGCCCTTCTCATAGGGGTAGAGCTTCTCTTACTGCCCTTGAAATCCTTTGTTTGCTATTGATAACTTATGGAAAGGAAGAACAGGATCTTGCTGTGTCCTTCTACTACAAGGTCAAATCCTGAAATACCTCTCCTTGTCTCTGCTTCCCACAAACATTTATTGAGACCTTAATTCATGCTGGATGCTCATCTAGGCGCTGGCCGCATATGAGAAGAATAAGGCATAGGATTTTGCTGCTACATAGTTCAATGAGGGCCTGTTATACCCATCTGTCTGTCCTAATTTCAACTCAGACACATGGCAAAGGAGGGAAAAAAGTCGTCCAGACTGATGAGTGGAGGAATGGCCCCATCGAAGAACGCCTGGAGTATGCCCTTGTGAAGGTGAGTTGTGGGAACCCTGAGGGAGTGTGAAGCGATGGCTGGAAGCGCCTCGTGCTTGCCTCGTGCGGTGGCTGGAGGGGGCAGTCCCTAGAGCAGCCCCAAGGCACCGTGGGCCAGGTCTGGAGATATTTTTGGTTGTCACAGTAAGAGGTGGGAGGTGTTCCTGGCATCCAGTGGCTGGGGATGCTGTGGCATCCCATAGTGCATGGGACAGGCCCCACATGACAGTTGTTCAGCTCACAATGTCCTTAGTGCCAAAGTTGAGAAACGCTCTCCTGGACCGAGTTGCTGTCGTTTGATCAACAGGCAAGTCCTGGCTCTTCTGCTGAAAATTGGGATTTTTTTTAAAGATTTTATTTATTTATTTGTCAGAGTGAGAGAGCAAGCACAAGTGGGGGGAGGGGCAGAAGGAGAGGGAGAAGCACCCCACTCAGCAGGGAGCCCGGCATGGAACTCGATCCCAGGAACCGGAGATCGTGACCTGAGCCACAGACAGATGCTTCACTGACTTAGCCACCCAGGCACCCCGATAATTGGGATTTTAGACAACACAATCTCTTGGCTTCAGTGTCCTTATTTGTGGTCTGGAGAATTTCAGAGTTCTCTTTTTTTGGCTCTCAAATTTAACTTTTAACTTCTTGAAACTTTTGAGATTCACATATTTGAAGTTGTGCAATGTCAGCCACATCCAGGGGTCCTTGAACTGGGGACACAGGGGATTAGGGCATGATCACTAAAGGCTGGAGAAGTCCACAGAGGCTTCATGGGTTTGAACTTCACCTCAAGGTCCTGGCCATTGTCATCTCCCACCCGCCCCCATCCCCACCGCCGCCTTGGAGCTTCATAGTGACAAAACGTGCTGATGTCACAGGAGATCTTTAATAACGGATGCTCTACTAAACCACTAAGATACAAAAAGTGTATTTTATGATGAATTTGAACTTTACTTACTAGTATTCCTTCTCACTGATAACTCATTTTTACTGAGTACTTACGTTGTATCGTTCCCCTGGCTAAGCACTTTACATAGGGCATTTCATTTAATCCTCAAAATAACCACCTGAGGCAGGAAATGTGTGACATTTTAATTTAGGAAACTGAGGCTTGATTAATTGCTTAGATTACTGATAGGAACCAGGATTTGAACCCACGCAATCTGATTCCAAAACCTGTACTCTTAAACATTTCCATGATTCATTCTTGATTGGCTGTTTGGACTTAAGCCGATTTTTTAATGTGATTTTTTTTCTAACTTTTTTTTTTAATAGGGTATTGAAAAACATATTATTGAAGACACCGAGGAAGCCAGATTAAACCAGGAAAAATACCCCCGGCCTCTGAATATAATTGAAGGGCCTCTGATGAACGGCATGAAAGTTGTTGGTGACCTTTTTGGAGCTGGAAAAATGTTTCTACCTCAGGTTGGCAAAAGATGGGGAAGGGGAGGGGAGGGGTAGTTTTTACAACCTAAAAAAGAAGACTTTGTCTTTTAATAGTAAGTTCGGGTGTATTTCTCAAGTTTTGATTTTGATAAGAGCTCATGGACATTTGAGATTAGGTCATTCTTTCTCTAAATGTGTCAGGAGTAGTGTCTGGAAGGTCCGTCTTGAGGGTGAGTGCCGGCTCGAGGTCATCTAGAAACTGTTAGCATTCTGATCTGCATGATGGATCTGTGTCCCATCTCCTAACTCCCAACACCCATCTGCTCTTCCCTCAGGTTACAGTAAAACCCAAGATGTGTGTGAAGTTCATAGCATTCGCTTTTGATTCACCAGCCAGTATCATCTTTAAGGATGCGTATTTTGAACAAATCATCCCCGTTTAAAATAGTGATATACATTATGTTGTATCTTTCAAGAAAGCCAGAACTCTCATTTTGATTTATAGGAGCAACTGGCCATATCGGTGAACAAGCTTCTCTTGAGCCGTCAGAGTTAGGACGGTGAGGCAAACACAAAACGTGAAGGCCCTAGTTTGGTTTCTGTTTGTTTTAATTACTCATTCTATACTTAGTTAATTGCCTGTTTCCTTCATAACATTCACCCCCTTTTTAAAACAGCTTTATTATTTTATAATAAACATACAACAAAGTTCACATACGTAGAGGATACAGCTTGATGAGTTTTAACACGCATGCACCAGTGAAACTCTCCCCACACTCAAGATAGGAACGTTTCATCGCGCCCTCTTAATTTCCTCCAGCCCATGGCAATTCCTCAGTCTTAGTTCTTCATGGTGTTGACGTATTTTTTACTTTGTGTTTTTGAGTTAACATCAGGCATAGAGACAGTTTGCAAATGTGGTTTGAAAAATGTCTTGTATCCCTCCCTCAAACTCTTCCCCTCACCTGAGCATTTTTACTGGAGCCTCACGCAGTTAGCAGCCCCTGGAAGTTGACAATGATGTAATGCTGTTAGAAAAGGACTTTATTCAGACTTCACCAGTTTTCCCATACTATTTTCTTTGTATTCCTAGATCCCATGATGCTTTTTTATCCTGCCTTCCTTAGTACAGTACAGTTATGGAAACTGTCCCTGAGTTTGAGTTTGTCTGATGTTTGCTCATTTTTTGGCAAGAATAAAAGTGATCCTGTGCCCGTCTCCATGGATCATATCAGGAGTTCCAGAATGTTGCTGTGTTTCATTACTGGTTATATGAACTCTGTTCACTTGGTTAACAGTGTCTGCTAGATTTCCTGCACTCTGAATTTACTTGTAGAGAGAAACTTGGAAACCTGTTTCCCATCATACTTCCACCTGTGAATTTTAGCATATGTTGATGAATTTTATAAAAGGCCCTATTCTTACTTAAGCAGGAACCTTAATTATAAGTGGATTATAATGCTAGGGATCGAGAAGAGAAGGCTGAAAAGGGGTTCGTGGTGGACAAGGATGCCTAGAACTTGGAGAAGTGATAGACCTCTTCGAGGCTGAGAAAAAATAAGTAAGAAAGACAGAAAGACAAAAGTAAGAAGATAGAAATCACAGTGTGCAGTTCCTAGTCTTGTTTTCCTTCTGTCTACCCTGTTCATTGTCTTTCTCCACAAGGAACTTGTTCCTTATCTCGTCTGCTGTCAAAAGAGGACTTCAGTGGTCAAAGCTTGCATTCTTTTTTTTTTTTTTTTTTATGATTTTATTTATTTGGCAGACAAGAGATCACAAGTAGGCAGAGAGGCAGGCAGGCAGAGAGAGAGGAGAAAGCAGGCTCCCTGCTGAGCAGAGAGCCCGATGTGGGGCTTGATCCTAGAACCCTGGGATCATGACCTGAGCCGAAGGCAGAGGCTTTAACCCACTGAGCCGCCCAGCCGCCCCAAAGCTTGCATTCTTGAGATGCTAAAATTCACAGGCGGGCATTAGCAACCATTCAGAGCCAGGTAAAAATGCCTGACTCCATGTGTTTTTCCTAGGTTATAAAGTCAGCTCGAGTCATGAAGAAGGCTGTTGGCCACCTTATTCCCTTCATGGAAAAAGAAAGAGAAGAAAATAAAATGCATGCTGGCACAGAAGAAGAAGAGGCAAGTCATTTTGTTCAGGCCGCTGGGCCCTGTGAGGAATTGATCTCAGAGACTTATGAGGGTGGGGTAGGGACCACGGTCTTGGCTATGCTTGTCATCGAAGGTAAAATCGAGCAACGATCTGTTTGACCAAGTATCAGAATACCCTGGGCTTTTCCTTTGAGTGTGGCTTTATGAATTTTTAATATGAACGTAGTTTTTCAGACAGAGCCCATGATTTCAAATCAAGTTCGTTCATTCCTCTCCTCACCATTTACAGAGCTCCTCCTATGTGCTGGGCACTGTGCTCCACGCTGTAGCTACAGAGCCGTGTCCCTACCCTTGAGGTAATTGAGTGATACTTGGCTTTGGAAAACCTCTTCCCCCTGATTTGTCTTTGCATACTGGTAATGTCCTTGGCACTGCCTCTGGATCCAACTTAATTCCTGTTGGCTGTGCCACCAGAGTAAATCATTAAGCCTTGACTTTGTTTAGCTCCCCGTGAGGCTCAGCCAGCTTTGGCCTGTAGGATTCTGAATTCTCATATCGATGTGAGCTTGTGAATGGCTCCGACAGACATAGAATCCCACTTGCCTAGTGTGCCTTTTTCTTTTCTTTTTTTTCTTTTGAAAAAATGGTTTATTCTTTCATTCATTTATTTATTTGAGGGAAGGGATGCCCACAGTGTAGAGCACAATGGTATTGAAAAAATAAACTACGATAAAATGCCCCTGCACTGGGCTGTTGAGATGGTGGTTTGGGTTCTGATGGGACCTGTGCACTCACCAGCTTCTCCCTCTGTTCCCTCCGTCTCCCCTTACTGCTCACCTAAATACTTGTCAGACAGCGTTTTTGCAGTTAAGGATTATGTTCTTTAGCTATGGGACTGTTTTGTAGTTGACATAACCTGTTCCTTGAGGTGATGGAAGCCCCGGTTGACACTCCAGCGAGGCAGGCCTCCTTCAAACAGCCAGGGCCAGCAGCTTTCTACTGGCAGAGCACATGACCTAGGTTCTAGGTCTGTTTTTGAGGTTGTCTCACTTGTATGACAGTGCTTTTCGTGCCAACACCTGTCTGGCTGCAGGAAATTAGGGGATCTGCTCTAAGTGAACGTGGTGATGCTCAGCTGTGTGGCTTTCTCCCTAGGACCCTTATCAGGGCACCATCGTGTTGGCTACCGTGAAGGGCGATGTGCATGACATAGGCAAGAACATAGTCGGCGTGGTCCTTGGCTGCAATAACTTCAGGTGAGTTAACACTGACCTCTTTCAAGCCCCTTTCATATTTAAAAATAAAAGCATTAACAGGCTGATTCTTTGTTGGTCAGGAAGGGTAGGGTATGGCCGTGGATATTGTAGGCGATTTTTAATTTGTTTCCTGTTTCTTAACATTTTCTGTGTTGAACCACCTTTTCAGATGAAAGAAGGTAGTAATTAATCTGTGATCTGTGTGGTAAGTACAAAAAGGACAGTAAAAGCTATTCCAGCAGGGTCAGAACAACCAAGAGCTTCTTGAGGATTGACCTTGGGCCAAGACTCTAATGAACATTGGGCTCCTGCCCATAGCCAGTGGCATGGAGCATGTTCTGTTTTTCTTCTCAATAAACTGCCATGTTTTAGAGCTGAGATCCTGGAAGACTTTGGCTCGGTGGGGTTTATAAGAAGGCTTTGACTGTACAATTCTCTCTTCCCTCTGCTTCGAGCAAGACCATGCATCCCTCTTGGAAATGATGAAGCTAGATTTTGAAATGTTGTATAGAAGAAAAGCCTCTGGGTGATAAATCTCACTGTAGTGAATAGTCAGCCCTCAGTTACTTCTGTGTGAAAGCTGATGACCTATTGTAAGTGTATGTTTTGCCCAGATTTTGACATATTCTTTGCGAACAGAAGGCTAATAGAACTAACGCCTTCTCTGGTCCATGTCCAGCCACCAGTTCCTTTGAATCACGGACTTCTTTCCGATGTGCTATTTTATCTCTGAAGCTGGGAGCCATGGCTGCAGGGCATCTGTGCCCCTCACAGGCATCCCCTGCTGTCCCATGACAAGTCCCCGTTGGGCCCTTGCCTCCTCTCAACTTGGTTAACCATCTCTGCTTTCCAGGCCAATTGAACGCATCCAGGCACTCCGGAAGGCTGGGGTTGGAGGAGCTGGGTCAGGATCGTACCTTTTGGCCTCTGTCTTCACAGGTGTTTCCCTTAGCTGCCTGCCCGCTGTCAGAACACTTAGCACTATCTTCTCTATTCCTATTCTAGGAATATTGTTCTTGGAATGTATTATTTTTTCAATGATAAATGTATTGGAGATACCACGGAGGTGGTTGTAATGAGATTTCACCCATAAAATAAGTATTTGGATAAGGTGTTTGCTTCCTGAAATCTACAAGACACCTCCACTCTTGTCTCACTGTTTCAAATCCCAGGTCGTTGGCTTTGGTTTGCATTCATCGCAGTTAGTTAAAATTGAATTCAGCTCACGAACATCTGTAGATTGTCTCCTACACACCACACCATTGTACTAGTGACACCAAATGGTTTAGTTGACTTTCCTCAAGAATTCAAGGAATTTGCTGTTTATAAGGCTAAATAGCCAAGTACATAGTCAACTGTGATCATGGGACAGCAACTGTTGAAAAAAGCAGTTTGTAGGTAAACCTTCTAAAGCAATTTATAATTTTTTTTTTGTATTTGTAATTTTTTATTTTGAAAAATGGGTAAGTAGCTAGGAGAGTTACACTTGGAATGTATTTTCCTCCAGTAGAGACATCATAAGAGGCCAGGGAGAACTGTGGCATTTCTCCAGGGTGCTCTGAGTGTAGAATGTCAGCATTCGTGAAAGCCTGCTTATTAAACCCGAGGCTTTCCTCCAGCACATCCAGTCCTCTGTCTTGTGCATTGGAATTCTGCTTATCTTCGCTCATAAGTCAAACTGGAGAAATATCTTCTGGTGTAACTGTAGTTATTCCTCATATAAAAACACAAGTGAATGTGCAGTTGTTTTCTATCCTGTCTATCCCTGTGGCCTCCTGGTCAGTTTAATTTTATGACATCAGCTAGCAGAAAAGTGCCCAGAAAATCTCCCTTATATAGTTAAATGTATGCTTTTGCTGAGCATCAGGGTTCTATATGGATCTGGAGTGGAGTGGGTGGTTCTGGATCTGGGGTGAACCACCCAGCTAGTGAGTGAGTCTAGCAAACCATCCAGTATCAAATCCTCAACGCAACTTTCTAGTTCCTGGCTCTTTGCCATTGATGCACTAAATCTCATAAAATGTAAGAACTTTCTTCTTCGTGAAGGAAAAAAGAGTAAAGAGGACTCAAGATGATAGTTCTGTCTAGACAGAGGACGTTTTTGTGGAGATGACGCATTAGATTCTGTGTTACAGTAGCATGTATAAATTTGAGAATTTGAATAGACCTCAGGGACGGATCCACTGAGAGTCTAGCAACACCTAACATTTGTTTACCACTGCACAAATTAGTGCTTTCATAGCCTGTTTTTTTTTTTTTTCTGTCTTTTCCTGGTGTTTTTCTTTTCCTTTCTTTTCTTTCATCCTTCCTTCCATTTTATGGTCTTGATCCTGCTCTGCTTGCTTCAGTTACTGTCTTTTCACTTTACAGACGAGGAAACTGAGGCATCGAGAAGTTAAGTGTTTGCTTCATGGTCACACAGCCAGCAAGGGGCAGACCATAATATGCTCAGGGCTTCTGACTCCAAAAGTCAGGACCCTCTGCTCTGTCAGTTTATCTTCCGGTATTGATTGTAGTTCGAAAGTTCAACAACTTTAACTGTACTGTTTGATGTTGATATTCTAGTTAACATTCCTCTTACATAATTTAAAATATTCAAAAACGCTTTTTGATCATATCGTACATGAGAATTAAAAGTAATTTTTAAAATTGGATATCCTGTATCTAGTACTTTAAAAATACAGATCTGGTGACACATAATAACAGAGGCCTGTTTATATTTTAGTAAGTGGTTGTTAATGTACATGTGGAGTATAAGTGAAAATTAAGCAGGGTACAGCTGTGAGTGAATGGAATAACGTTAGCGCGTTCAACTGTACTTAAAGTCAGGGGCACACTAATCCAGTCTCTTCTGTCCACCACACATGCTCAGTTGATGATTATTCATAGGCTTTCAGCCTGCGGTGTGTGGGGGGGTGGGGGGTGTGTATGGGCGTGTGTATATTCTGGTTTTTCAGCTTTACTGAGGTGTAACTGACCTGTAACACTGTATAAGTGTAAGGTACACAAGGTATTGACTTGCTATACCATGTTGCAATTTGATGACCACCATATGATTGCTACAACCACCAGCTTCACATAATTATTTCTTTCTTGTGGTGAGAACGTTTTCTCCACCTCTTGGCTAACCCGTGTTACCGCCTATCTTTTTGATAAGAGCCCTTCAAACAGATTTGTGGTGATAACCCCATTATGAGTTTGATTGGCATTTCCCTGCTCCTTAGTGCTGCTGAGCATCTTCTCATACACAGGTTGGTCTTTTATGTCTCCTTTAGAAAAAATAGCTATCCAGTTTCTCTGCCCAACTTACTACTTTTCAAAGGGAGACTTTCCAGAATTAATTAATTAACTGATTAATTAATTAATTAATTTAAAAAAGATTTTATTTATTTATTTGACAGAGAGAGAGAGATCACAAGTAAGAAGAGAGGGAGAAGCAGGCTCCCTGATGAACAGAGAGCCCGATGTGGGACTCCATCCTAGGACCCTGAGATCATGACCTGAACCCAAGGCAGGGGCTTAACCCACTGAGCCACCCAGGCGCCCCTTAAGGAGAAATGGAAACAGACTGTTAGCTAGGCTTAAGCAGATTGGAAAAGGTCCGTGGGGACTGCAGAGTGGTAGGGTACTGCCATCTGGGGGTAGCACCTGTGAATTGCAGGGTCAGAAACGAAATTCTTTGTTCAGTTCACTTCCAGAGGCAGCAGACAGGAGGCACCCTGAATGGATGTGGATGCATGGCTCTGATTTTCCCTTTTAATTCTTCCAGAGAGGGAAAGGGACTTTATTTATTACAGTATTTTTTAAGTTGGATATATTCTTAGATCGTATTGGATGCCTTTGCTAAAGCAGCGAGTGCAGCTTACATTTTTTTCTGAATTAAAAGCCCAAATTAAATGCTTGTGTTTAGAGCTGTTATAAGCATTCTAGAAAGATGATTTTAAAACCAGCATTTTCTCATAACATTTATTTTTATTCTCTTTAATTTCTCATGTGGCATAATATAAGGATGTGTGTAAGAAGTGGCCTGTGGACATAGGGCATCGGGCTCTAGGTGAAGAAGGGAGACAAGGGAAAACCCAAGGGAGCAGAAAATGGAGGTGTGGTGGAATCAGGATGTGGCAGGGAAGGTGAGGGACAACAGCAAGGGACAATGGGAAGCAGGGCCACAGCCACGGAAGGCAGAGGTGGCCAGAGTTCCTCAGGGCCAGCTAGGTCCTCATGCTGGACCATAGTGCTAGTCTCTTCCTGGCCTGCCTTCTTTCTTCCTTCATCTAGCTGATACCTACTTATTCTTTCAAAATTCAGCTCAGGTATCACCCTCCTGGGGTGCTTCAAGCTCCATTTGGGTAGCTAAAGAATAGGGGGCCCATGGGTGGCTCAGTTGGATGAGTGGCTGACTCCTGACTTCAGCTCAGGTCATGATCTCAGGGTCATGAGATCCAGCCCCATGTTGGGCTCCACACTGGGCATAGACCTTGGTTAAAATTCTCTCTCTCCCTTTCCCATCCCCCAACCCCAATTACTCTCCCTCTCTTAGAAAGAATGAAAGAAAGAAAGAAATCTTAATATTCTGAAAAATTGAACTAGTAGTGGCCATTAAGATGTCGTCTCCTCCCACTCTGACCTCTCTGCCTACCGTTTCCTTCTTTCCCCCATTCTGTCCAGCAATAAGCTCTCCTTACTGTCCTCAAACCAAGCAAGCATGCATAAAATGTTCCTGAAAGACACATTGCTTAAAACAAGAAAATGAGAGCAAGTTGATTCTTACTATCATACTGACGATTTTTAATGGAATTTTTAAAAAGTGCATATACAGTGTTGAATACAGTGGGCTTTGAAAGGTACGCCTTTTTGTCTTGATTTAAAGGCAATACACTAATTAATTGAATTTAAATAAAAAATGTAATATACTGTTTTGCTTAGTTTCATATGCAACAGTCTATACTTAGTCATAGCTTCACAAAAGATCCAATTACCAGAGTTTTTCAATGTGCTAAAAAAAAAGAAAGAAAGAAAGAAAGAAAGAAAGAAAGAAAGAAAGAAAGAAAATGGTGTCTTCTGACTCTTCTTATGACCTCTGGTGCCACAGCATTAAAACCTGCAGCGATTCCTCTACCAGGTCACTAGTCACATACTGAAGGTAGTTACCGTTGATCTAAAATTGTCTTGGTTTTTACTGAGGAGTCTGCATGTGCTGATTTATTTGTCAAAAAAAAATTTAAGTGATACGGGAGCAAACAAGTCAGTATAAGACGTATATAGCAAGAAGCAAAGCTCCTTCCTGCCCGGCATCTACTGTTACCAGATGATACCATGTCAAATAGTAGACGTTAAGCATTGATTTTTTTTTTTTAATTAAAAATTATTTGGGGCACCTGGGTGGCTTAGTGGGTTAAGCCTCTGCCTTTGCTCAGGTCATCATGATCTTGGGGTCCTGGGATCAAGCCCCGCATCAGGCTCTCTGCTCAGCGGGGAGCCTGCTTCCCCTTCTCTCTGCCTGCCTCTCTGGCTACTTGTGATCTCTTTCTCTCTGTCAAATAAATAAAATCTTTAAAAAAAATTATTTTGCCTATTTTAATGACATTGTGAAAGAAGTGAAAGTGTGTGCTATGAAATGCATACTTATGATGAACTTAAATTTTAAAAATGACTGGCATGGTGGGGGCTCTCTCAGTCTTGATGACGGGGGGACAGTCTTAACTTACCAGGTAACAGGGCAGATGAAGTTTTATATGTTTTACCAGAGCTTTAAAAAAAAAAAAAAAAAGTCACATGTCAAAAATGACTGAATCGTATACTTTGAATGAGTGAATTTTACGCCGTGTGAATTCTGTATCAATAAAGCTGCTTTAAAAATCTTAGCATAGCACCTGGCATGTGGTAAGGACTTCATGCGTGGTCATTGTGGTTGTTGTGATGGTTGTCACTGCTTCGTGAGCATGTCCTGGGGATTCCAGTTGCCATCGGAGGAGTGTTTGGCAGCTGAGTAAACGTTCCTTTCTGCTTTGTCTCTGATGGGTTCTCATTAATTTCTTCACATCTCTTTTCTGTCCCTCAGAGTTATTGATTTAGGAGTCATGACTCCCTGTGACAAGATCTTGAAAGCTGCTCTTGATCACAAAGCAGGTACTGTCCACCTGTGCTTCTGGGCTTTCCATGGATGTCCTCACCCCTGGGGTGTGTCTGTCAGCATATGAGGATGCCCCAGTCCGTGTGGGACCGCTGGAGCATCCGGACAGTCAGGGGCCAGCTCCTGGGTGGGGGGCTTTCACTGTCGTTTGTAGTGGGGGTTGAATTGGTGAATAGGTACCCATGAAACTCCTCCTAGCTCTGAAGATGGGAAAAGGGAACAAGATTCTTATTACAGGGTCATATTAGATTTTTCTCTGGGTATCGTCATTTCTGTGTTTCTTCAGACACTGTGACACGTTCAAGTCTGGGAAATCATAAACAATATATTTTATTTGCATGACTTGCGCAAACCGTGGCACGCCCATTATTGCAACTTGAAACTACAAATCGTATTTGCTACCGAAAGCCAAACAAATAAATTGAAACTCCCCAGAAAAGAAGTCATACAATTAGAAATTGGGAATTCCAATGAGGTCTTCTGGTCTTTATTACAAAGGCTTTAAAGTGAATCTTGGATACTTTTCTGCATTTTTTTCTCATTCTCCTTCTCACTGTCCTTTTTTCTTTTTTGAAATAATAGATATAATTGGCCTATCAGGACTCATTACTCCTTCCCTGGATGAAATGATTTTTGTTGCCAAGGAAATGGAGAGATTGGCTATAAAGATTCCACTGTTGATTGGAGGAGCAACCACATCAAGGTAAGTCATGCTAATGAACTTTTTGCTTTCCTTTAAATTCATTTAAATGCCAGTGTTTAAAAACAGTGATAAACCCTGTGTTTTGTTGTTGTTTTGTTTTTTATATTATGCTTAGCACATTGGCTCCTTCTGTGTAAGCCCATGAGCGTTTAGTCTCCCTCTGGACAAGAGCGAGTGTGCTTTTGGAGCATGGTCTAGGAAACGCCTTTGTGATCTCCCCACCCCTTGCCTTTTTTTTTTTTTTTTTTTTTTTTTTTTTTTTAATTTCTTTGGCTTGTCATTGTCCTTTCCTTAATCCTCTCATCTCCCATTTGGTTCCTGAGATTTCTGATAAATACTCCTCTTAAAATCAAACCAAGTGGAGAAAAGTGTGTCTTTTGGCACAAAGACATTGCTTGAACTCCATCCCACTCTCTGTCTGGAGGCAGGTGTCTGATTGAGTAATTACAGGTTCCCTTGAAAAAACTCCAGCTTTATAATAGTTGAGGCAGGAGGCCAAGCTAGCAAGAGTGAACCAGAAGATCACCTTGGGAAGTTGTTTTTGAAAGGGAGAACTTTTGGAGAAACTTTCCGTTAAGCAGTTCAAAGAGTTTTAAGTTGGTCGCGTGACCGTTCATCAGTTTGTCACATTTTTCCTGGGGTCATGATATTTGGTGAGAAATATGTTAATTATGGGTGCCGTTGGGCTTCTTCTGACATGTTCCTTATGCTCCCTGTCATTTACTTTGGTAGGGAATAATGCCCAGGTGGGACATTGAGCTTGGTGACCTGGTAGCATGCAGCTTATTCTTTTTCTGATGCAAAAATGCAATGGAGTCCAGTCGAAGATATTCCAAAGTTCCTTTCACATTATAAGCCATTCATATTAATTGGGTTTTCCAGAGAAACAGAATCAGTGGGGTGGGTATATATACATTTATTTTATGTACATTGTATATGTTTACTCTATATTGTATTATTAATGTATACTGTATACTATATATACAGAGAGGTTTATTTTAAGGAGTTGGCCATGTTATTTTGGGGTCTGGTAAGATTGAAATCCATAGGGAAAGTCCACAGGCTGGAGACCAGGCAGGAGCTGATGTTGCCGTCTTCGTTCCAAAGGCCATCTGGAGGCAGGATTCCTTCCTCATTGGGGCACCTCTTCTCTTATCTTAATCTTCAACTGATTAGATAAGGCCCAGCCAAGGAGGAGTAGTCTGCTTTACCCAGAGTCTACTGATTCAAATGCTAATCACATCTAAGAAATAACCTTCACAGAAACATCTAGAATGATACAGACCTAGCTCCCATGGTGTGGCCAAATTGACACATAAAATGAACCATCATCCCATTTATAATCTGAGTGGATCATTTTCACAACTAGTAACAGTGTTGTGGGTCATTTATTCACTAACTACTTTTCATCCTTGAAGGACTCTACAATGTGTCCATTGTTGCTCACCTTACCAAACTGGGTTTGTTTTTCCACCCAGGATTTACCCACTAGAATATGGGGCAGATTATTCTCCAGGGATCTGACTACCCATTGAGAACTGGGGTTTCAGTGAGCAGGATCTTGGGTGTTTGATAATTGATGATTTTAACGTGAATATTCATCAGCCTAGCAAAGAGAGTGACCAGAGAATTTACAGACTCTTGTGAGGATGAAATACGTTTTAAGATCATGATTGTGAAACAGAATACCTGTGACGCTGGTTTCCAAATAAACCGTTTTAGAAGGCAGGACACCACACTGAGGAGTTCGACATCAGGAAACCATGCGTAGCTCTTATGCAAGTTGGAACATTACAAATGGTCCGTTCTGTCATATCTCTTACCAAGTAAGAGCCACCAGATTGAAGAGGATTTAAAAAGAAATTCAGAAGCAACATAATAGAGCTCCTCTAAGATATACCATACACAAAATTAGCCACAAATGCCTCCAGACAGAAACTGGTATATCAAGTTAGAATTAAGTGGGTCAGAAGTCACCCACTGTCTCTCCATGCTCCTGCAAAACTTCGGTCCTCTTGGCCTGGGAATGGCGACCCGATCCTCCCTGAAGGTGGAAATCTGGGTCCCACGACCTTGCGAAGTTCCTTCAGCTCCCCAGTGCTCTGTTTCTGTATGAGCTCCGCCTTTTCTCGTGCTGTTCTCTTCATGCCTCTTGCAGTTTCTGGGAAAATAATTGGAAAATAAAAGCCAGTCACCAGATATGCATTCCCTTCTCCAACGTGATGCTAGAACAGCCCTCGCAGGATAGATTCCTGTGCCATCTCTAAGGACCTCAGCTCGAAACTCCCCCATGCTGACTCCATTCTAAAGCAGTGACGGTGGCGAGGCCTTATTTCAGCTTACTCAAGCCCTCTTCTTTAAGGAAGCCCTTTTCCTAAAATCTAAGTCAAAAAGAAAAGCACACAAGTCAGAAATCTACAACTCAATTTTTACAAAACCGAACCTCCGATGTAAGTACATCTAGATAAAGACATGACCGTTATGGCACTCGGGGCACTGGGCTGGGTCCTCCACCGAGTCATCCGTGACAATAAGATGGCCGGTCTGCTGTCTCCCATCACCGCAGCTTGGTGTTGCCTGCGTTTCAGCTTCATAGACATGGAATCCTGCTGTGTGTGTTCTTTTGTGTCCAGCTTGTCTTTTGTACTGCCATGCCTGGGAGGCCCAAACTGGTTATTATCGTGGTGGTTTTTCCACTGTGGTACGTGTACTATCTGTTGTATAATACACTGTGGCTTATGATCTAGGCTGCCGTTGGTGAACACTGGCTTTTTCCCAGTTTGGGGCTGTTTGGCAGAATGCTGCTGCGCTTGTATTTATGCCCTGAAGCAGAATTGCTGGGTCCTGTGCGTACGATCATCGGCATTCAGCATTGCTGGGTGGTTTTCCAAAGTGATTGTATTAATTTACACTCCCGCCAGCAATTACAGGAGTTCCAGTTACTCCACACCTTTTTGAATTTTACCTATTTTCGTATGGATGTAACAGTATCTTGGAATGGTTTGCATTTGTATTTCTCTGCTGACTAATGATACTGGCTACCTTTTCTTGTATAGGTTGACCGTTTGGATAGACTTTCTAAGTCCTTTTTTCTTTTTTTTAATTGGTTATTCTGCCTTTTTTCTTGCTGATTTATATGTGTTCTTATTTATATTGGATGCAAGCTCTGTATTAGAAATACATGGCAAATAGATTCTTCCATTATGGCTTGCCTTCTGCTGTTTTAGTTGTATTTTTGGATCACAGTTTTTGATTTTCAGGAAGTCTGATTTATCTATCTCTTCCTTTACGATTAGTGCTTTTTGCATCTCTCTAAGAACGCCCTCTAATCCTGGGAGAGTCAGTTTTGCTGGAAGGCAAGGAACGGTTGGGGTGTCTCAGAAGCCCTCTGAGAGCTCTTGCTCTAACCTCCCACAGAACTGTGGAGAAAACAGCGTGTTCCATTTTTTGCCTTTGTGAACTGTTATTTGAGCAGAGGATGGCTCAAGACTCCCAAGTTGTCATGAAGGAAGATGAGGGGCTGTAACATGTCCATGGCTTTTCCAGATCTCAGTGGCCTGTGGTGGCAGGATGGAATTAGAACTGTACTCCTGGGACACTTGCAATGAGCCTGACGGCTGACTGATGGATCCTAGGATGAGTTGAACGGGCTCTACAGCCGTGGGGTCGTGTGTGCATGGAAACATGCCTGGAGTTCTGTTTTTAACCTGTAGCTCTGAGAGGATAGAGAACTGAATGTTCTCCTGTCTATAATGCATATTGTTTTGTATCACAAGCGAGAAAGGTCTTGCATGGAAATCTGGTCCTGTTATCTGTACAGCTTCTCACAGGCGCAGGTCTGGCAGTTAGCACTCAATTTTTAAATGGTTCAAAGCCAGTAACAGCACAGTGTCTTTTTCAGTTATTTTTTGTGAATAGTGGAGAATTCAAAAGGAAGTCACGTTGCTCGAAGAGAGAGGTCATTTCCCAAGTTTTTGTTTCTGTTTTTTAATGAATCGTTAGCAGGTAAGATGCTGAACAGCATAAATGGCGTTGTTTCCCTCGTTGCATTGGCTCCGGGGAACCTTGGAACTCAGGCCCAGGGGGAGGATTTCACAGACCCGACTTCTGCGTCTGACCCCACTGCTGACTGCCTCCCGTCTTTATTTTCCCAGACTCTCATTTTTCTCATCAAATTCTGAGGGATTTTTTTGGTCATGCTGCATTTATATAAACCATTTTAATTCTGGAAGGATAAGGCATGAAAAAAAATGCTTGGATTACTTGTTCTTTTTCAGAGTTTTTAAAAAGACCTTCTGAAGTTAACACTGTCCTGCCTGTTGGGCAACCGTGGCGGGGGGGTGACTCACTGAATCACCGGCACTGGTGAGGGACTCGGCAGACAAGGAGCTGAGATTCAGCCTCGGGGCCCAGCCCTGTGCTGTTGGTCTGCCAGAGGGGAGGAGAGAGTCCAGTGTTTCCCATCGTTTCAGACTTCAGAGAGAAGTCTGCCTCCCACTGGAGATGGTTGCATAAATGGAAGCTTAGAAGAAAGTAGAATCAATGTCATTGTTTTATGAGGAAACCAGAAGTGCCCTTGATGGCCGAGCCAGCTCAGATTTGTGGCTGTTGCTCATTTAACTTTGTCATTGTGTGTGTGTGTGTGTGTGTGTGTGTGTGCGCGTGCGTGCGCACGCATGCGCACGCACTGGAAAGCAGCACTTTGCTTTTAGTTGCTGTTGTTGTTGTTTTTAAATAATGGAATCCATCCATTTCTTCTTGGTGCCATTGTCCAGAAGATCATCAATGAGAGAATGGCCAGAATTGCACTGGGAATCTTTAGATGCTTAATAAATATTGATTGTGTTGACTTAAGATTTAAAACTGCACTGGTTCCCTTTAAGAGAAACGTCAGCCAAGTCACATCAGGCTTAATGTTCCCGGAGAGACTTCAGGCAGAATGTACATTGAGGGATATTTGTGTGTTGAAAGAGCTGACCACCCGAGGAAGGGGACGAAAGCATGGTCTCACTTTTGTTCTGCTGAGAAGCCAGAAGCAGTTTCTTCTTTAAAACTATTCCCACTGTTTGAAAATCTTCCACCTTATAGAATACCGAAGATACTGTCAAATCTTTGTGCCCACAGTGGGCACCAAACAGCACATCCTTGGAAGACAGTGGAGTTGGTTGGCTTCTTTCTGGCCATGGTCTGACTCCCCCGCCCTGCTGCTCTTCACCACACCCCCCCAGGCCAGGAGAGTATCTGGCGCCAAGTACTTAGGCCTGTGCATCTCTTGTATCGCTCGGTTCCGTGACTCTGGGCTGTAGGCCTCTGCTTCCTGTCAGTGTGTGGAGGCACCTGTAGAGCGGGGACAGGTGAAATGTCAGGGTCTTGTCTGTCTTCTTGGGAATGAACTTTTAGTCATCCCTGAGGAGCCTGTTAAAAACACACTGACACATATATTGTGCCTTAAGTGTTCCCTTGGTTTTTTAAAAATTACCTCAGTGATCTATGCTTGTTATTAGAACATGTCAATCACTTCAGAGGAATGGAAAGTAAAATTTAGTCTCTCCCTTCCCGCCTTCGATTCTGCCTCCACCCTCCATCTAACCAGTGTTGACATCTGATGTGGATCTCTCGTTTTTTTTTTTCTGAATATACAGAAACTTACATACCATGTTGGCAGGGTAGGGCAGGTGAAGAGCAGTAGTACTTGTTTATTTAAAAAGCAGAATTGTAAAACAGACTGTTCTGTTACTTTGGTTTCTCCCCCCCTACTTAGTAGCATATTCTGGACATCTTCCCAAAGGAAAGTGGGTGTTAGTGGAGGGGGAAGACTAGGAAAGCGTCTGACCCTGGGAAGAGTGCTGCAGCCTTCAGGGAGAGGATTGGCTGGGAAAAGACTGGGAAGGACGGGCTGTCCTGGGAAACCCCCAGTGGCTGCCCTTTAAATGCACTCGTGGCAAAGTGCACATTCATGTCCCACCTTCAAGGCCTTGGTGTAACCACTGTTGGGGAGGGTGTGCAAGTGGATCTTCACCTCTTACACTAGGGTGCCGTGTTCTATAAGGAAGGAGCAGCTAGGGAGCCCGTGCTAGGAGATCCAGTAATCAGAGGGCAGCTGGTGGCGCACTTTGGTGAATTAAGTCACCTTAAGGGTTATAGAGTGTTTCTTCCTCGCTGCCCACGTTTCCAAGTCTGGCAGAAGGGGTTTGGGGCTGAACGTTGTTGCCGCTTTGGCCTCTCTGTGTTAATTCGTGTCAGATTTATTTAGGGTCTGAGGTTCCTTCCTGCAGTCCAGGGTGGGCTTGGGGTGTCCCTCGGGAATGGGAAGCAGCCGCTAGCGCATGCATCCCCTGCCTGGTGTCTGGTTCTCCAGGGGCCCTGGCGGCTGTCCCAGCCCATTTGGAGGGGGAAATGCAGCCTGAGCTTTATGGCAGCAAAGTGCAGTTGCCCGGGCTGGTTAGCTCCTTGGTTCAGACAGGCTGCTAACGAGTGCGAGGTCACCGTCACAGCCCTGTTCACAGAGAGCTGAAGACAGTCTTCCACATTTTGTGATAGACTGTTTTTGTATCACGAGCTGACAAATCAATGTCTTCTCTCGTCTCCCCATCTTGGCGGGGTGGGGAAGGAATTCCTCTTGTCTTACAAGGGAAATGGGAAGTTCAATATTTGAAGTACCTTATAGCCATTCCTGGGAAAGCGTTATCTCTAATGGTTCCAAACAAGTGTCGTGGAGGAACTGTCAGCCCTAATGGATGTGTTTTTCTTCCCAACCCCTCTTTCTAGAACCCACACAGCAGTTAAAATAGCTCCAAGATACAGTGCCCCTGTAATCCACGTCCTGGATGCGTCCAAGAGCGTAGTGGTGGTAAGTGTGGGGCCTTGCATCCACTTCAGATATTTCATAAGGAGAGGAGAAGATGCAGAGTTCAGGGTATTTCCCAAGATCATCATCATCTTCTTTTTTTTTAAAGATTTTATTTATTTATTTATTTGACAGACAGAGATCACAAGTAGGCAGAGAGGCAGGCAGAGAGAGAGAAAGGAGGAAGCAGGCTCCCTGCTGAGCAGAGAGCCTGATGTGGGGCTCCATCCCAGGACCCTGGGATCATGTCCTGAGCAGAAGGCAGAGGCTTTAACCCACTGAGACATCCAGGTGCCCCCCAAGATCTTCTTTTATTTTTGTGCAATTCTACTAAACAAAAATGTAGAAGAAAGCCTATGGCTTGTCATAGTGTCATTGTGAGAGTCTGTATTGCTGGAAGGGGGTAGCCAGGGGAGGAGTCCTGAGCTGGCCACAGAACGCTGGTCTGAGTAACGTGGAACCAAGACACTTGTGGCCTTGACACCCGCCTGGAGGGAGAGAGGTTTCAGCCATTTACATGCACTTACAAACATGAATATATACCACCTTAACTTCAAGCCAGAGCTAAAAGCAATGTGGATTTAAAAAAAAAAAAAAAGACCTATGTCCAGCTATAAAGACTGCTAATGCAGCAAGGGCCGAACCAGAAGCCAGATGAGGTGTGGGCACTGGTACTCCCTCTGGTCAGGGCAGCTGAATGGCCAGCAGTGGTTACCTCTTCTCAAATGCAGAGAGATGGCCACCTTCTGAAATTACTCAGACTCAGTCTTTTGATCCAACCGCAGTGGACATGGCCCAGGCCCGTGGTCTGGAATTGAACACTTGGAGGATTGTGAAATATGGCAACTACACAGAGCTTTAAGACTTCAGGATGCCCCTGCTTTCTTTCTTTCTAAATAAAAGCCAGGGTGCCAATACTTAGTTATTTCTAAATTGTGAACTATATTTTCAACTTCTTCCCTCTCATTGTGCTGTTACTGTTACAAAAAATAAAGAATAAAAGCATAAAACATGTCTGAATGGTTAGCCTGGAAACCCACAACAAGCTCCGATTTTGTGGTGGAAAGATCCCAAAGATCAGCCTATATAATGGGCATGAGCTTGTTTCCATCAAGCAAGTCACACTGGGCAGGGAGGGTCTTGTGCTGCTGGCTCTGGGAGCTGGGGCCCCCTGGGGTATGGACGGTGCCTGTAGACCGGTGTGCTCCGTCTACCCAGTGGGAGCCATGTCAGAGTCCTGTTAAAAGTTCTTCAGGTGTTTAGAAAATCAGGGTTTTGCTTTCTCAGAGTCTGAAATCTAGTGGAATGCAGTATTTTAAATAATATTTTAAAACACCAGTTCCATGTACTTTGGAGAGCTCAAGAGTAGGCATCCCCTTCCTGTGTTCATTTAGCTCTGCTGGCTTTCCTAAGTGAAGACTCCATTTAGCGAAGGTGGATGGAAGCCCGGGAAGTACTTTGTGGGGTGAATACCATGCAGGAGCTTTTTGTTAGGCTTGTCGCAATGCTCCTCTCTGATTAGGTTCCTTGAAGTGTTTTGGCTTTACGCTAACTCTTCGGGGTTTGGATTGCTATGAGAGATACTTGGAAAATTCACGTAGAATTGTAGACATTTCAAGCCAGTGGGCTCCTCAGCCATCGTCCAGTCTAATTTCGTCAGTTTCACATAATGATACTGATCTTCCAGGCCCTTGTGTTGGGGAATCCAGCTGGAGGCTGAGAGGTGATGGGGCCGTGCAGGATTTTGAGCTAATCGCCAGCAGCTTTTTCTTCTTTCTTGACAATGGTATTTTGAGCTTTGCTGGGGAATGTTCTCTCATCACCTTGATAATCCCAGTCATAGACAGGATTTAGCTCATCCTAGTTTTATAATTGACTGAGTGGCCTCCCATTTCTCAGATGATGGGTTTCCTTTCTTTTCCTAGCAGAAGCTCATGGTTGACCATGGACATGAGTCTCATTCCTTCAGCAGACCTTTAGTGAGGAGACACCTCATCTGTGCCAGGCACAGAGCTAGATACCGGGGACACGAAGGCAGTTAAGGTGCAGTCCTGCCCTCCAAGGGCTTGTCCACTTGCCTCCAAGTGGATACGCAGACAGACACTAACAGCCTGTGGGAAGTGCAGTGAGGGAGAGATGCACCAAGTACCTTTGAAACACAGAAGAGCGGTACCTAACGAGGGTGTTGTGTGGGTCCCTGGGAGACCCTCAGTTTCAGTGATGTGCTTGAAGGACTCCCCGACCTCAGAAACACCGTTCTACTCACAGTCACACTGTATTGCTGCCAAGGGAGACAGATTAAAATCAGCAGAGGCAAAAGATACAAAGGGTAGCATCCAGGAAAGGCCAGGCACCAGCTTCTAGGTGTTCTCCCCATCCCCCGCCCTTGTGAAATCCTATGGACAGTGCTTAATCCTTCCACAAGTGATGTGGGTTTCCACAGGCAGCACATTGCTGACTAGGGAAGCTCAGCCAAGCCCTGGTGTCCGCAGCTTCTCCTGGGGGTCAGTCCCATAGGAATGGAATGCTAAGCACCTGACTATTCTTAGTTACTCCAGAGTCAGACAGATACAACACGAGCCAAGTCTCCCCCAAAAGCACGTGGTTAGCAGAAACTACCCTGGGTGGTCCAGGGCTCCAGGTGGATGAACATTCTTAGGATATAGCCAGGGCTTCGAGCTGATCTCTCAGGAGCCACCAGGAGCCACCTGTTTCTCTGGAATGTGTGACAGTTGGACATCCTCGGTCCGCTGAGCTAGTCCTCAACTGCGCACCCCCTGGCAGGAATTAGCAAAGCTGGCGAAGGGAGAGGGAACGACGAGAATGAGGGAAGGCTTCCTGGAGGAGGCATCATCAGAACTGACCAGTGTTGCTCCTGTTTTCTTTGTCTCCTTTTGCTCCTCTATGTTTCTTGAACGTCAATCTTCTGTGTTCAGTGCTCGCAACTATTAGATGAGAATCTAAAGGATGAATATTTTGAGGAGATCATGGAGGAATATGAAGATATTAGACAGGACCATTACGAGTCTCTCAAGGTGAGTGACAAAAACACTGCTAGTTTGGGCATTAAAATGATCCTGCGTTTTTTAATGTGACTTTATTGTTTTAAGGAGGGCAAAGATTTAGGATCATTTTAGAGATGCCCTGTTTCCTAGTTTAAATTGGAATTCTCTGGTGTCTAAGGTCCCCAGTAATTTGGGATTATACTAAAAGTAATTTCATTCATTCCACCAAACATTTATTGGGTACACAGTAGCTGTTAGGTGCTGGGCCAGATAGCAGAGTTATGAGAATGAATAAAACATACCCAGCAGGAAAACAGGAACTGAAACATATAGAAACGACCCTCCTGGATCCCTGTTCTTGAAATAGCAGAAGAAAATGAAGACATCAGATAGGACCGTTGTCACCTCTCTCCCTCCTGCCTAGTGCAGACTGCGCAGAGCAGTGTTACGAGAACTGTCCCTCTCTAGATAAGCTTTAGGGAATCATTGGAAAGCAGACATAATCACTTGTTAGAAGTCGCTGGGATATTTCTTCCCAGTTTATCTGCCTGTTGGACCTTGTCTGTGGTGGGGCGCCCTTTGGGGGTGGCTAGGCGGGTGGAAGGAGACAACAAACCATGTGAAAATAGGTGTTTCTGAGGTGTTGACTAGCCCAAGATACTGTGCTTGGCTTTCTGTCTCTCCTTAGGTCTGCCTGCGGTTGACCTTTTCTTGGCTCTGCCTTCTGGTCCAAGGGCTGGCCGATGGCAGGCCGGTTAGCCCTGGCCTCAGGTGTTCTAGCCCTGGCCTCGGGTGTTCTAAAAGGACAGGCAGGACGCCACTCTGTTGCTGTATGGTTACTGCATGGTTAAGGGATCTACATATCAATATTTAACGGATATTTACTGACTCTTTACCCTCTGTTATTCTAGTGCTAATGGGAAGCCATATTGGGTGTAAAAGGCAGAGCTTTTTAGGATACGAATTTTCAGTAATAAAAGAATTTGTGGGTTTTTGTTTGTTTGTTTGTTTGTTTTTTTACAGAAGTCCCATACTAACTTTTGGGACGCACTTTAGTAGTATCAGTTGAAAAGCTAAGAGTCTCTGACTAAAATAACTTTTCTCTTTTTCATAGGAAAGAAGATACTTAACCTTAAGTCAAGCTAGAAAAAACGGTTTCCATATTGACTGGCTGTCAGAGCCCCCTCCAGGTCTGTCTGGTTGTCAGTTAGAGAAAGGCTGTGTGATAATGAGAGCTGGAGAGGTGTTTGTATTTACTTGGCTACAGAATCCAATGGGCAGCTAGAGACTCTTAATTGTGTCTAATAATAGTGACAAAGGACAATGATGATTGAAAAGATAAGTAAATAGGTACCATTTATAGCGGAACAAACTGTGTCCTGAGAGTGGGCAGCTCTGAGTGCTTGACACAACTCTGTGGTGAACGTGCTGTTGTCCCCACTCGCATGTGAAGACCCTGAGTTTCGGGTCAAGAGCTCGAAAGGTTTCTGGGGTTCTCTCTCGGGTCTGTCTTCTGACCCACACTCTTTCTTCTGTGTGGGGCTCAACGGGCCCCTCCACAGCTTGATGTAAGTTCTAGAGACCTGCCTGGGTGGTGCTGTCGCTAAGTGGCCTGGGTCACAGGGCAGGCCCAAGTGTAGACATGGGGTGTTTGAGATTGAAGATGCCCTCAGCCTGAGGAGACTTTTAGAACATACCAGCAAAGCAAGAGCTCCTATCTCTTGTTCACCCTCTCCTGTTCTCATTCTGAATGTTTCCTTCTATGTCTTTTGTGGGGTTTTTTTCCCCTTTCTTATTTCCAGCCACGTCTCTTGCCTTATGGAGGTGTTCATGAGGGAATAAAAGATGGAAGATGTTTTGACATGCTCAGAGAGGCATGAGGTACAAATGCAGAACTGAGACCAGGTAAATAGGGGTTGTATTACTCGAATCCGTATTTCCAAGGTAATACCTCAAATCTGGTCTCCTTGTTTACAACATCTGTGTTGCGCATATGCTCGGCAGAGTGGAGATCGTGAAATTGGAAATGTACGTGAGACTGGTTCTGATTTCAGTCCTGCTGAGCTTAATGTGGTTGCGTAGGAGGAATGCTGCATCGGGAGTCAGGAGGTCCGGGTTCCGCTCCCAGTTTGGTTCCTGGCTCTGAATCACCGAATGACCTTGAGCTTCTCATGTCTGTGGTTTCTAACATGTAGAAAGGAGTTACCCCGTGGAAGCTTGTGAGGATAAAAGAAGTTCAACTTTTGAAAAATGTAAATCACTGTATAGTCCAGCTGTTATTTTCCCTTTACCTTTCGCTTTGAAGTTAGAAAAACATCACAAGGGAAAGTCCCACTTTGACCCAAACATCCAGCACGATTCAGCGGAGACAGTACTGTGAAGGCAGTGGTGGTGATACTTTTTGAATGTCCGTCTGTCCCAGGGTGGGGCTGCTGTGGAGGCCTGTACCTATGGCTTCAGAAGGGCCGAGGCCCTGAGGTACAGCCCGCAGAGATGTTTCTGAGGACAACGCAGTCTTCTAGTAGTTGCAGGAAGTCACTAAAGGGAGAAAGAAGGGCTCTTCTCTCAAGGTCCTTGGTGGTAAAATTCCAGAAGAGTGTCCTGCAATGACTACAAGGCAAGAGGGAGCATTCATCCAGAGGAAACCTGTAGTTTCTTCCTGATGGTCCGACACATCAACACAGTAGAATATTATGAAGAAGAGATTATTCTGAATAGGAAAAAGATGACCAGCAACAGATGAGAAAGAACTCCCGTGAGCATGTATGGGAAGATAGAGGTTTCCAGGCAGAAGTAAGAAGCAGCTCTACTTTCCCTGTACTTTTCTCCCTCTCACATCTGCCTCTGACTATGTGGTGACACAAAAATACCCTTGAGGCTCTGGTGTTAGCCCGGAGCACCTGAGATGAGTAGGAGACTGGAAGTTCTCTGATCCCGGTTTACAGATCAGGGAACTGAGGACACAGGGGCCAAAAAGCTGGTGGTGTGGTGGTGACATCTGACTGTGGCCCGACCCCCTGCAGGGTTGTGGGGTGGGGTGCAAGAATGCTGCCCCTGGTGTCCTAGGGAACCCCAGGACACCATCTGTCTCCAAATTCTTTGTCATTAATTCACTTATGGTCTATTTTAGACTTGCAGGGAGCCGTAAAGAACGATATGTTGAAGATTCATGTATACCCACTAGCCACCTAAGGAATAACCTGGTGTAGGGGCGCCTGGGTGACTCAGTTGGTTAAGTGTCTGCCTTCCGCTCAGGTCATGATCCCAGGGTTCTGGGATCAAGTCCCACATAGGGATTTCTGCTCAGCAGGGAGTCTGTTTCCTCCCTCTGCTGGCCACTCCCCCTGCTTGTGCTTTTTCTCTCTCTGACAAATAAAACCTTTAAGAAAAAAAAATAGAGTCACCTTGGTGGCTCAGTGGGTTGAGCCTCTGCCTTCAGCTTGGGTCATGATCTCAGGGTCCTGGAATCGAGCCCCACATCGGGCTCTCTGCTCGGCAGGGAGCCTGCTTCCCCCACCCCCACCGCCTGCCTCTCTGCCTGCTTGTGATCTCTCTCTCTCTCTGTCAAATAAAGTCTTAAAAGAAGAAAAAAAACAAAAACAAAGCAGCACATACATAGTGGGAGTCGCCCTTGTGTTCCTCCCTCCCCCGCAGGATCCTGAATTTTATGCCTTGTTTCCATGCATTTCCTTATATTTTGCCTGCATACGTATGGAGCAGTGGGCAGTAGAGAGGATTCATTCACATTTCTAACACTTTCCTAAGTGGGTTACTGCGTGTGTCTTTCTACAGTGGCATTCATTGTAGTATTGTCTTCATTTGTGCAAGCGAAGAGAAACCCATGTTTCTTCTCTTGGACTGGGGCTGAGGGAAGAATTTCCAAGGGCAGTGTAGACAGCTCCCCGGGAAGAGTGGTCTGATTTAAGATTCACTGTGGAGTTACTCCTTCTCCATGATCTCTGAAAGTTCCAGGGGGGGGGCACCTACAAAACAAGTTCTGTAGGTGGCAGGCGACAGGAGGGAGGGGACGGGGAAGTCCCAGAACAGGGAGAGCCAGCTGGGGAGGCGTGCATACAGGCGGTGGCCATGTGCGCTGGGCGCTCAGCAGGCTCCGGCATTGTCCTTGACATCGGGGCTTCTCTTTACAGTGAAGCCCACGTTTCTGGGGACTCGGGTCTTCGAAGACTATGACCTGCGGAAGCTGGTGGCCTACATTGACTGGAAACCCTTCTTTGATGTCTGGCAGCTCCGGGGCAAGTACCCGAATCGAAGCTTCCCCAAGATATTTAAGGACAAAACTGTAGGTTAGTTCAGGAAGCCCTTCCTTTCTGCTCTGCTGTTCAGATGTAGTGTTGGGACTTTGAGGATGAGAAGGGGAGGCAAGCAGAGGGTTTGGATTCTGTCAGATATAGTTTATGGTTATAATCTAACGTATAACATAGGCTGTCGTTTACCTGTTCAGCTCTTCCGTGGTTTTAAACTGCTAGTTTGGTCCACGCTTATGGGATAATTGGGCATTTTGTTGATCTGTTCTTTGGTAAATGCTTATTGATACCAGTTTCGAAGCAGGCTCTGTGTCGGGCCCTGGCGATTAATAGAAGGTAATGGGAGTACCCTTGCTCTCCCATGCGTGGCTCAGAGCTGGTATGGCCACCAGCAATGGGCAGTTGCTGCACGGCCCGCCACGCTCCTGCCATGGGGCTGAGTCCAGGGCATTTGTGGACACAAGGCAACGAGGCCTCAGACTGGGAGGTCAGGGGAGGCTTCCTGGGGGAAGTGGTACGTGAAGTGCTTTTTGAAAATGAAGTGGGAGGGACCGTGACTAGGGATGTGAGATGTCCCTGGAGAAAAGGGTGTCCTGGGCAGAGGAGACAGAAGATGGGAAAGCACAGTCACGTGTGTCCATTGGGGGAAATGCCAGGAGTCCATTGTGCCTGGAGCACTGGTGGAATTAGGGGGTGAGAGACTAGAGACATGGGTGAGCTGCTAAACCACTGGCCCCATTTCTCCGGCCCAGTCCCACCCCCAGAATCTACCCGCAGAGGCATGGGGTCACCATACCAAGCTGCTCAGAGGATTAGGAGAGAGCCAGAGGAGAGCAAGGTGGAGGGGTGTCCTGCTAGGAGGGTGGGGTTAGGGCCAAGAGGGGCCTGGCACGGGACAGCCACCCACGTGCAGCCCTGGAAGCACTGCTAAGGGGCTGGGCCCACATTTCCCTCCTCCACCTGTTCCATGGCCCCAGAGGCCACTTGGAGGTCCCTGGTGTGATGGGTGCACAAGGATGGTCGGTGATGGAAGGATCTGGCTGGCTTCACTTGCTGGGGGCTACCAGGTTGGGCTCTCTGCCCTTTGTTGAACTGAGGCAATTGGGGGCGCTGCAGTCAGCCTGAATGGCCAACCCCAGCCACAGACAAGCAGCAGTGAAATATGTGGGGGGAAAAGGGAGAGTGGGAGAAGACGGCTGAGGAGGAAGAGTGGCTTTAAAAAGAAGTGCTTTTTTACTGGCTCTCGTTGGCATTTTTAAGTGAATTCTCACCATGTTCTCCTAATAGGCGAAGAGGCCAAAAAAGTCTATGACGATGCCCAGAACATGCTGGAAGTGCTGATCGATCAGAAGAAGCTCCGAGCCAGGGGCGTGGTGGGGTTCTGGCCGGCGCAGAGCGTGGAAGACGACATCCACCTTTATGCAGAGGACGCCGTGCCGCAGTCTGCAGAGCCCATAGCCACCTTCCACGGGCTAAGGCAGCAGGTACAGGAAGCCATGCGCTGCCACAAAAACCGTCAGTAGCAATTACATAAGCCTGCGCTGTGTCTGCATGATAGGTCTGTACTGCCTCACCCCGGAAGACCACTCACAGGCATTTGTGAGGACAGTGGTGAGAAGGAGCCGGTGTGGGTTGAGAGGCTGACCCCTTGCACCAGGAAGAGGGGGTGTTCGAGGTGGTGTTGGACAGGCTGATGGGACACGCTGTTGCTGCCTTGGTGCTCACACACAGATGGACATTGCCTTAACCAAAAACATCAGTTTGCGTGCATGCATATTATTAAAATAGGCCAGTGGCTCCCTATCTCAAGGGGAAGACAGGCGGGGACACAAGTTTGCTGAATGTCTGTGAGGGGCCAGGTGCTTAGCTCAGTGCTGGCCAGACCGTCCTTCATTTCCATGCCGCCTTGCCATAGACAGTTTACATCTCCATTCCATGGGGTGGGGGAGGAAGGCTCACGGAGATGGTGCTACGTCCACGGCCTCAGAGAGGGGAGCAAGGCTCGTCGCACCTGGCAGCTGTTCCTTCATCGCGCTGGCCTCCCTCAGTGCGAACCGGCATTTCTGAACACGCCTGGCTCTGCCGTGTCCCTTCCCAGGAGAGTGCAGATACCGTGCGCGTGTCCATGTGGCCGCGAGGAGAAATAGTTGTCCTCCAGAATTGGAGCCGGAACTCACCAGAGCCATTAACAAAGGGTTGCAGTAAGTCATCCTGCAGAGTTCCACTGCCGTTTTCGGTCATTCAGAAGTGATAGTATTGCTTTTAATCGTAAGCACCACGTAATTCATAGTGACGTAATTCATAATTTCACTATAACAGCATCTGACGGGATTCTGTAGTTTGGGATGTTGCTCCCATAATAAGGTCGGGGAGGGCAGCTCCATCACTCCTGCCTATGCCCAGGCTCCGACACCACAGAACACGGGCTGCCGGCTCTAGTGTTCTGTTCCTGCCCCTCCTCACTAGTCAGCTGGTGACTTTGCTTCTGCAGGTGTAACTCAGGTCACAAACCTCTGCCCTGGCCAGGTTTTTACGTCCAGCTCCAGTCATGACCAGGCAGGCTGTGGCAGGCCATGCGAGGGCAGTTAATGGAATGACTTCTCCATGTGCATATGTTACACATTCAGATAACTCACTGAGCTTTCTCCCAGTGTTCTGAAGATTCTGGCTGCAGCCACTTACCGCCTTGAGAGGCTTCTGTCTCGGTGACCATAGTGACTGTCTCTTCAGTGCTGCGGTGCTTTGTGACCTGTCTCTCCTTTTGGTGCCGGGAAGCTCTGTCTCCCTCTGGCTTCTGTTAGCGAAGAATGGTTGATGGACAGAGTGTAGCTGGAAAGCCGCTCCTCCCTGCACAGTGGTCTCTGTGCTCCTGACATTTCTGGGGGCCATGATCAAACACCTTCTGGCCGCGTAACCATTTCTGCCCAGTGTTGGTTCGGCTGTGCCTGTTTCCAGAGCCTGCAAGCAAATGATAGCTCTGAAGCCTCTGGTGTGCTGCTCATTGATTAATTGATCAGTCTTACGTGCCATACAGTAGTCAAGAGTGTGGGTTGTGGTATCAGACCCCTGACCTACCACCGGCAAGCTCTGTCTCTGGTTTCCTGTCTGAAATGGGCCTGATGGTATCACTTCCTTACTTCACTTGGTAGTTGGCAGCATGAAATTAGCGAATTCACGAGCAGCACCAAGAATAGTGCCTGACGTACAATAAGCACTCAGTACGCACTAGCTACTGGCTGTTCATCTTCCCGTAAGCACGCAGCACATACTAGCTACTGGCTGTTCATCTTCCCAGCAGGTATTTCTTGGTTGTGAAATATGTGTATGACCTTATCTGCCCTCTTGGTGGCAGGGGGCAGTCTGTCAGCATTTGGGCATGAGAAACAGGCAAGGATGGGCATCCAGCCTGGAGGAGAGGCTCCCGAAGCTAGGCTGCTGAATTCTGGGTCTCCCGAGCCACCACCGTGGCTGGCGGCATGTGGTCCTGGGCTGCCGACCAGACGTCTGCTGAACTGTGCTGATGCGAACTAGAGGCTTATGCGTTTAGTGGATCCCTTTTGGATGTAACTTTCAGATTTAATGTTGATTTTGAATTGAAAACACCTTCGGGGAAAATTTATTTTAGATGAATGCTTAGGGTTCTGGTTGCTAGCACAGGGCCTGGAGACAGGGTAAACGTGGGAAGGAGCAAACTCAGGGGTTTCTTGACTGACCTGTCACGTCATGTCATGTATTTTTTTAGAATCTTATCTCTCTTGTTGATTCAACAAATATTTATTGAATACTTGCTACATATCAGGCCCTCTTCTAAGTGCTGGGGATATAGCAGCGAACAAAATAGACCTCCCTGTGCGAAGCTTAGATCTGTCTGCTAAGACTAGATTGCCGTCTGTTGCACGTTGCTCCCACGTCCGTGCTGACGGTTGGTCCGTCTGTCTGTTGGGTTTGAAGGCCGAGAAGGACTCCGCCAGCACGGATGCGTACCACTGCCTCTCGGACTTCATCGCTCCACTGCATTCCGGTGTCCGCGACTACCTGGGCCTGTTTGCCGTCGCCTGCTTCGGCGTGGAGGAGTTGAGCAGGGCCTATGAGCAGGAGTGTGACGACTACAGCAGCATCATGGTCAAGGCTCTGGGAGACCGACTGGCAGAGGTAGAGCAGTGGTGCTGGGCACAGGATGGGAAGTGCTACGGGGGCCAGGTGCTGGGCAGCCCTTGGCATCCACGTCCTGCTGTTTCGTTTTTACCGAGTCAGATGAGGCTGGCGTTAGCATCCCATGCAATTTTATTCTATTTTAATTTTTTTATTATTTTTTAAATTTAGTTTTTCAGTGTTCCAAGATTCATTGTTTATGCACCACACCTAGTCACATGCAACTTTAAATCTGCTTTTCTCGAATTGCTCTCACACATCATGTTTTGGGCAAAGGGACACCTCCAGCAGTGCCACAGTTCCTAGCTGTCCTTAGAACCACGGTGTCTCTCCTGCAGTTGTGATGTCTCCCTTTGCTTGTTGTGACGTCCTCGTGAGGTGCCTGAGAAATGCAGGACAGATTCTGTGCCAGGGCTCCTCGTTCTCCTGTTGTGATGCGCTGTAGATTCCTCATCTTTCTGTGCGTGGCCAGGGTCCCCTCTCCCTTTTCCCAAGGCTGGCAGGGGAGGTACTGGCAGCTGGAATGGTCCTTGTGTCTCCTCCTGGCCACTGTCAGGGAAATGTTTTAGTTCAGGGACCTCGAATCCCCCAGGTCCTCGAAGAGGGGACGTCAGAGCCCGGGCAGAGAGCTGCTAAGGGAGCGACAGGTGAGCGGGGAATCCTGTCCCGCCTCTCTCGCCTGGTTCCTTCCTCTTGCAGTGCAGGCGAGGGGGGCGCCCTGGTGGGCTTTGAGGGCAGGTGGGCCAGGGGGCCGGGAGCTCCTGCCTCACCCGCGCACGCCTCGTTCCCTGCTGCAGGCCTTCGCGGAGGAGCTGCATGAGCGGGTCCGCAGGGAGCTGTGGGCCTACTGCCGCTGCGAGCAGCTGGACGTGGCCGACCTGCGGCGGCTGCGCTACAAGGGCATCCGGCCGGCCCCCGGCTACCCCAGCCAGCCTGACCACAGCGAGAAGCTCACCATGTGGAAGCTGGCCGACGTGGAGCGGTGCACGGGTGCGTGCGGGGACTGGGGGGCGCCCTCCAGCTTTGTGCGGGTCATGGGTGTGCTCCTGTCACAGCAGCACACATGGGGCCACACGTGTCAACACGTGGAAAGGCTCACAGTGAAGTCCCACCCTGTCTCACGTCTGGCTGCTGATCACACGATTTTACGTTCACATTATTGAATGGTCGTCCCATACCCCCACTTTCAGATTGATTGACTTCCGTTACTTTCTCTTAACCTGTAACAGATGAGAATTGAGCTTACCATACTGCCCGCCCATCTCCCGCCGTGATTCCCCACTTCAGGGCTTGTCACTGCTTCTCACCTCTCCATTAGCCTTCAGTAGTTCATGTCGCTCACAGACTGTGTGTCTGGACATGGCTCCTGCTCCTCACCTCTTCCCTCTCCTGGGTTTTACCCTTTATTGACACAGTTAACAGTGTCAGTGAATGAATCCGAAGCCGTCAGTGTCGATCAGGTGAAGGGGATTTAGGTTCTGGTAAGGGACTGAGGCATTTGGGTATACACCGGCAGGAATGGCGTGGACTCCCGGAGCCATAAGATACCGATTCGAGTCCTTCCCTGCTGTAAGCTACCCGGTGCTCTCTGGCAGTGTTTAAGTTTCATGCTGCTCTGTTCCTTGTCCATAAGATGAGTGGGTTAGATGGGGCAGCCTGGGACTCCCTCTGAGTACTGCTGTGGGCCCGTTCTCAGGGCCCGACGGTTGGTCATCCCAAGGGGCAGGAGCCTGGGGTCTACATGGTGCCTTCCTCCCAGGGCTGGTGCTCCTTCTGTGTGAGAGGCCCAGGCTTAGGAGCAAGAGGAGGCCTCTGTCTCTGATAGTAGAGGACTGGCGGCGGGAGGGGTACAGATAGTCTTTTCCAGGCCTGTCCCCTTGAGTTAGAGGAGACTGGCCTGAATTTCATGCTGTGTCATGTGTCCACATCGACGGCATGAGCTCACTTTCCTTCACCTCTTCTTCCTCAACAAGGGTTAATTGCCCTAGCACAGGGCCTGCTGCCAACCACCAGGCCCTGTGCTAGGCACTGGAGAAATCAGCATTTTCCCCTTGTGTTGCTTTCTCCAGGCATTAAGTTAACGGAATCCCTAGCAATGGCACCTGCTTCAGCAGTATCCGGCCTTTACTTCTCTAATTTGAAGTCCAAATACTTCTCAGTGGGGAAAATTTCCAAGGATCAGGTAAGTTAGCTGTTTCGTTGTGTATGGCTTCCCTAGATACCTGTCTTGTCTTACATGGAACCAAAGAACCTATTTTATTTTACATGTGAATGAGAATAAAAAGGAAGGGAAAGTGTGACAAAATTCACCTCCAGTTAATGTCTTCATTTGGTATCAGCTCGTTACCCCGATCCTCGCCCTCCCATCTACGCACCTACGTCCCCAGTGCTCATGCACTCCAGCATCATCTCAGCACCAGAGACTTACTGTGTGTTGTCTCGTGCCCAGAGAACAAGGCAACTTGGTGACTAGACAAATAATCCGTCTCCATCTAGCTTAGTAGATTGCTATAAGACAAGACATGGAAGGCATTCCACATTTCCTAGCAAATCCTGTGTCAACTTCACTTCAGAAAGTCTTACCATTTGGGTTCGATGTGCTGCTTTTAATCTTTTGCAGATTGAGGATTACGCTCTGCGGAAGAACATGTCTGTGGCTGAGGTTGAGAAATGGCTGGGACCCATTTTGGGATACGACACAGAGTAACTTTTTTTTTTTTTTTTTTAAATCCTTTTCTCTGCTTGAGGATCCTCAAGGAAGCATAGTGTAGAGTGCCTTTAAAATGAACGGCAGCAGCAGACCAGCCCGGCTGCCCCTGGGCGACATTCGTTCTGCTTCAGGCTTTGGAAAACCATTTGGTGGATGGAACCTCCCTGTGTCCCTTGGAAAGCAAGTGGTTCCTTTCTAGGGGACCTTGAACCGAGAGCAGCACGCACAGCTCTGGGGGTTTTCCTGGTCCCTCTGGACGGGACAGGCTGGAGATAGAGGTCTTTTGCATTTCAAAGCAAGTCAGCTTGCTTTTTTCGTTTTTACTTTGCATCTAGGAGGCCAGTTGTTATCTTTTTTTTTTTTTCCTTTCTCTTGCTCTCTGAGAAAAAGGCCCGAGACTTAGCTGAATAGAGAAATGTATGGAAAAAATGTGACCCCTGGCAAAATCACAATGCGTGCAGTGGGGCATTTTAATCTGAATGGTTGTAATAGTAGACTCTGACAGGGAACAAGGTGTACGTTTGATCTCCCTCTGGAAGACCTCATTTTCATTTTCTCAAGTCCCGATTACATGGGTGCAGAAGTCCCTTTGGCAGAAGGCCCGCTCTCACCGTTGACCACTCAGAAATGCTCAGGCTGTGCAAACAGTGGTGTTCTCGTAGGAGTTCATGTTCCCTGCCCTGACGGGGTAGAACGAAGTGGGGTGAGGTGGCTGCTCAGCATGGTTAGCGTCTTGTGGCTGTTTTCTGGAATTGAGCAGGCCCTCCACTGAGCTGGGGTGTCCCGTGCGGAGTTGGACGGATGAGCAGCGTGATTCCACTCACCCCCATTTCTGCACCAACCCAGCTGCGGGTTCCCGCAGTGTAGGAACAGCACCATGAAGTGTTGTCGGTTGTTTCGGGGGAGACGGCGAAGAACATGAACTTTGAAGGCAGACCTACCTGGATTCACATTTCATCTTTGCCACTGCCTGTGTGACGCAGGCAGATTGCCTCCACTCTCCAGCACTGTCTTCTCATCTGTTAAAGCGGAGACCGCGATTCCAGTTCCTCTGTCAGGGGCCGGAGGGGCAGGTAGGTGAGGCGCTGCGCATAGGGCACGTGGCAGGGGCTCTGACTCACGGTGGCTCCTGTGGGACTCAGTGGGTAGCTTTACTTCCAAGCACATGGTTAGTCTTCCTGGCAAGGGAATAGACTAACAGAGGCGAGACGATACCAGGGGATGCGCTTGGTAACGACCGGTCTGACTGCCCTTGGTGCCCTTTCCTGGGATTACACCCCTGTTTACGCTGTGACTGGGACAGGGCAGCTGCCTCCGTGTCCTGTGAACCGGTAGAACTCACGTTTGGTGTGACAGCCCCCTCCCTCCGCTCTCATAGCTGGCCTTGCTTCCCCGAGCAGTTCTAGCAAGTGTATGTTCAGGTGCATTGGAGCAAAGGGAGAACGTCTCAGGAGAAGGAGAAGCCTCTGCATTTGCCTTGTGTCCCCGTGGACTTAGCGGTAATGGGCCTTCAGCCGTCCCTGGCCCTTGAAGCGAACGCAGCTGTGTGCTTCTGTGGGTACCGTTCGTCTGTGCCTGACTGAGAACGGGACTCCGTTGCAAGACTTACCTTCTGGTCCATAACAGGTGTGTTATTCTTGGTACCTTCCTCCGTGAGAAAGAGTGATCTCCTCCGAATGTTTGAATGCATTTCGTCGGAAGTAGCGTTGCTTAGAGTCTCCTGATGGCACTGAGTATTTACCATCTCTTCCCTCAGCTGATGATGTGACAGAATGGCTTCCTTGAATGTATCATTCCTCTGATCCCACGAGGGGTGCCCTTTTTTTTTCTCCAAAGACAAAAGCAGTTCGTGCAAGTTTGAGCGCCTGCATATTCGTGAAAGAATGTAAAATGCAAATTGAAAACCCCTCCCCTGTACATGTCACACCCTAGGAAGGCAGGTAGGTGGCTGTGCTGAATACAGGGTCCCTTCTGTGTCGGAGCTGTCCACGCAGAACCTCTTCTGGTCATCGCCGTCGATGGCTGTCCCGTGAACCCACTTGCTGTCACCATTTTCACCAAAGAGGCCACATTATTTTTCCCTCTAAAGAGGTGCTTGTTTGGGATCTTCCTCTCTCTGCTGCTTGCTGTGCTGTCCGCACTGAGGAGCCTGGTTTGTGGGGTGGTGGGGGGATTGGGTGTAGGACAACCCATTTCTCTTTGGAGATGTTCTCCTCTGTCCTCCCTGCACTCATAGCCAAACTCAATAGAGAACAGTCCACCTTCTTTTTGTTTCTTTTTGGCACACCCTCAACTGATACTGAGTATCTGCTGCGCCCTCTTTCTCTCCTTTTGCATTTCAAAGCAAGTCAGCTCGCTTTTTTCATTTTTACTTTGCATCTAGGAGGCCACTTGTGTGAACCCACACTGGGTGAACCCAGTGAAGTTGGGTTTCTACCTGCCTCTTCTGGCATCACTGACGCCTCAGAGGTTAGACCCATTGGCCTTCCCAGTGATTGTCATCTGTTTGGGCTTGGACAATACTGACCCGCTTTTTCAAAACTCACCTTTCCTTACTTTCCCCGTGGCATCACTCTCTGGTTATCCTTCTGTGTTTTGGTCATTTCTCAGCCATTTTCATACTTTTTTTCTTCCTCTGCCCATTTAAATCCTGGTGTGCTCAAGGGCCTGTCATTGGTGACCTCCTTAGCACGTGTAGTTTCACTGGGCGATCTCACGGAGTCAGTATTCCCATCTGAGCTCCGTCCTGAAGAGCACAGCATATATCCAACAGCCCTGGACAGATGGACATCTCAGACCCCATGTGTCTCGTCTCATTCCTCTGCAATTATAAAATTCAATCGTGAAGAATGGTGCCACCACTCCAGGACCAAACCTCACAGCCTGTATCACCTTTGGCTTGGACTGTTACAGGGATCTGGAAAGTGAGCATGGGAAACACACACTTAGCCTACTTTAGTCAGGACAGCAGTTGAGACACTTTGGGAAGGCAATGCTTAGATGAAGGCCTGACTTGGGACTTGAAGAATAAAGATAAAGCAAGGTAGGAACAAAAGAAGAGCTGTCTGTGTTCACAAACAGGGATATGAAAGGTTGTAAAGGTATCCGGTCTCCCCAAATTGATCTGTAGGTTCAGTGCCATTTCCAACAGAAATTATAGTAGAAGCTGTGTTCTGGGTGACAAGCAGATTCTTAAATTTATACGGAAAAGGAAAGGATTAAGAATAGCTGAGTGCTTCCAAATATGAAGACGAGGTTACGAGTCAGTAGTTTTGTTGTGTGTGGTGCAGAGGTGGGCATTCCGAGCAGGGCTGTGAAATGGGGAGCCGCAGAATAACCCATGTGCGTCTTGACCTTTATGACATGGCGGAGGTGGCTTGGCACATCTGGGAGGACAGGCAGGGTGACCACACAGGGTGCTGTGACGATGCTTATCTGAAGGAAAAAGATGAGATCTGGTTTCTGCCGCACAAGTTATCCAGCCATCAATTCCAAATATATTAAGGTCTTAAATAAAAAAATATATATGTTTCATTGTTTGCGTAGACAAGCCTTAGGGCAGGAAAGAATCCCTCGAGACATAAAGCACTAACCACAAAAAGAAAAGATGGTTACATCAACCGTTTTGTTTTTTTTTTTTAAAGACTGATGCTAAGCTAATAAACAATTGAAAGCGAAAAGACAAGCCATGACTTGAGATGTTTGTATTACACTTAAACTGACAAAGGATTAGTAAGCAGAACAGATAGAGGGTTCCTATTTAAGAAAAAAAAGAAACTGGGCAGAATTAGACCAGAAAAGGCATTTCCCAGAAGAGGAAATACACATGGCTTACAAAAACATGTTGCATGGCATCAGAGATCAGAAATACGAATGAAGACAACAACGAGATCTCATTTTACACCCGTGAGGTTTGAGGAAGTTCAGGAGCCTGACGATATGGGATGCCGAAACAGCTACGGCCAGTGACCAGGCACCTGTGCTTCAGAAAACTACGCTCCCCCGCCAGAGTGGAACTCCTGCAGTGCCTTAGGATCTGGCTTCCAATTCAGACTCCCTCTTGGGGATCTAACAGATTTGCACACCTGCACCTGGAGGTGTGGGCGAGAACGTTCATGGTAACATCTTCATAAGAGTCAAGAACCGAAAAACCCAAAATGTCCATCTGTCTCTAGGGAGATGGATACATAAGTGAGGTATATTCACGCTGAGGGGTATTATTCAGTGGTGGGAATGAATGAACCGCAGCTGTACGGGACAATAAGAGTGAATCTCAGAAATAAGCAACCAAAGCAGATTCCAGAAGACCATGTGCTATGATGCTATTTTTATGGAGCCTCTAAACAAGCAAAACCAAAGAATATACTGTCTAACCATATGTAAACAGTAAAACTGTTGTGTTTAAAAAAAAAAAAAAGTAAAAACAATAAACCAAAATTTAGCAGCAGAATTAACCCTGAGTGGGGAAGCGGAGCAGATTGCAGAGGGATACGTGGGTGGATGCAAGTTATTAGTAATACTCAGTTCTTGGGTTGAATGATAGGTTTATGTATGCCTTGTAACAGAGTTTTATGTGTTAAATGTTGTATTTAAGGCATGTATTAAGTATATTTTAAATAAAGACAATAATAAGTGAAAATCTGAGTTGGTGACTTTGTATATAATGTTGTGTGTGTGTCAAGTAGATGTTTTTTTGGAAAGGAAGGCCGTGTCGACCAGAGTGAACAGTGCAGAGGTGGGGGCAGAGGGGTGCTATGGGCAGGGGCCACGGTTCCCCGGGCTGAGGGCCAGCGTGGTTCCCGCCTGTCGGACTTTGGTGAATGAGTGCACGCAGTACCGCTTGCTATGGCACAGGATGTAGGAGGGTAGAAGAGATGACTTTGGGACAGGTTTGACGAGACTGAATACAGGCAGTCAAAAAAGTGACTTTGGAATTTTGGAAGACTGGCCTTAGGATCGGGGAGGTCAGATGGAGTTCAGGTCACAAGGGTGGACAGGACAGCTTGTGGAGAGTGTGAGGAGGAGGGAGCCCAAGACAGAGCTGGATTCCAGGAATGGGTTGGGGGGGGCAGCTCTCTGGGAGAGTCCACATCCGGAGGTCCAGGAGAGGGGGCATTGCTGCAGCATCATCAGGGGATGTGGGGACCATTGGCGGATGGTGGTGGGTTGAAGGTTGAATGTGTGGTGAAGAAATTGTCTGTTACTTGAAGAACATTGGGTGTTGAGTTTGATTAGTCCGTTACAGATTTTGGATACTAAACCTTTATCAGATATGTTATTTGCAAATATCTTCTCCCATTCCAAAGACTGTCTTTTAGTTTTGTTGATTGTTTCCTTAGCTCTGTGGAAGCTTTTTATTTTGCTGTAGTCCCAAAAGTTTGTTTTTGCTTTTGTTTCCCTTACCTCAGGAGATACAATCCTTAGTAAGAAGCTGCAATGACAAATGTCAAAGAGGTTACTGCCTGTGTTCTTCTCTAGGATTTTGATGGATTCCTGTCTCACATTTAGGTCTTTCACCCATTTTTAATTTATCTTTGCATGTGGTGTGAGAAAGTCATCCAGTTTCAATCTTTTGCATGTTGCTCTCCAGTTTTCCAACACCATTAGCTGAAACTTAACATCCAAAAAACAAAT